CGCGACTATGTCCCTTCTAGGATTTCATAACTGTGTGATATTTAATAAAATCAATGGTATATCCATTCTGTGTATTGTCATTTCTTGTGCATATAATACCATAATATTTTCAGTGTCAGCGCGATGAAAGGTCAGCAGGTATTCGTCTGGCAATATTTCTGCATGTCATCACCGCAGATTCCAGACAATCTGCAGACAAAGCTCTGTCGCGACCGGGAAGATTTGACTTTCGTTCTCTACTCCGTGGGTTGAAGTCTGGCGGCTCTCTCGTTAAGGCTATCACCAACATACTAGGATTGGGGGACACGGACTTTGGTACGTTCATCAACAGTTTACCCTTCTTGGATCTTCCTGCCAGCCATCATGCGCTTGCCCACTTTGATGACTTGATGAAGAGAGACAGGAACATGACGGAGATTCAGAAGGCCCGTGTGGAGAAGCTGATGGAGAAGCTGCAATACAGCATGGAGATGAAGACAGAGCTCGGTACTTGCGATAACGGTAAGGCGCTGTTCTTCCTCCTCCATCTCACAATAAGTGATGCTCATTTAATGCGCACGAACACACACACACACACACACACACACACACACACACACACACACACACACACACACACACACACACACACACACACACACACACACACACACACACACACACACCTCACATCTCCCTGGTCATTCCCTTACCTACATAATAGCATATCCAGCAATGGAGTAGTGTTATTGGATAAACAATAATTGAAATTGATATTATCTAGCGACATCAATCCTTTCCATATTTATAAGAAATATCTGACAAAAGCCGATTCCGACTGTATTTAGACCATGTGTAAACTTGATCCTGACCGAAGTGTCCGATCCTGAGATCTTAATATTTGTTTGATAAATAGACATTAACTGTAGGTTTTTAATGTCAAGCAATATTACTATAAAGGTCATAAAGGTTATATTATCATATGTATTATTATAGTCCCGTTTTTGTTATTTCTTGGAGTTCCGTGTCGTGATGTATGGGAATAATGCTTAAAGCGGAGTAAAATCATCCCAAACAGCCACACTTACTGATAATGTTTTGTCAGTGGTTTCAGGGGCCACGGCGTCAACGCTGCCGATGACTAGTCTGATGTTGTCGGTCATCTATGCAGTAGTCTCCATCTAGGCATCCCAGCATGCACCTGGCATACCTATCCTCGACGCAGTGAACCCATGTTTAAACTGGATGCAGCAGTTAAACTACGGGGAAATTACTACATATAAACTGCAACTGGAAGCAAATACTGGACAACTGGATTTAGCCATAAATGACAAACGTTATCAAAACGGTACTAGCTTGAAAACAAGTTGCCGAAACACGCCAAAGTTAAGGTCCAAAACAGAACTATTTTACCCGTATCAAATACATCACCATCGAATAACAATTTCTTGTTTGTTTCATTTTTAGCCACCATCAAACATGGATGTGTGCTTCCTTTGCCTGGAAGTTTATATTGTTTAACATAGGACGTGGATCAATGACACCTTCGATGATAGGGCTCATTTAACGAAAACAATCTTCTGCAATGTGTTTCTTTTTATATACAATGGGGTTTGTTCTGGTTAAGTAGGTTTTTCCGGAATTATGTCCACGAAGGTAATAAAACACCTATTATGAAATGTATGTTTCAATAGTGAGTGAGTTCGTGAGTGAGTTGGGTTTAACGCCGCTTTTAACAGTATTACAGTTATATCGCGGCGTGTCCGCTTAATGTGGGAGGAAAGCCCGAAGTGATGCAGGTCTCAGACGTTTACCACTTCGGTGAAAGCCACTAGCACGGGTATGGTGCTGACAAACCTAGAAACATAATCGGGGTGAACCGGGATTCGAACCCACAATCAGAGGTCTCTGGCGTGTCCAAGGGACGCAACTCTGCAAAGCGAATCGCGGCGCCTTAGATGACTGGGCCACCCGTGCCCCCTATAATTCAACAGGCTATGGACAATACGAATGTGGAGCATATACCATGAGCCAGTGACATATTTGTGCATGAAAACAACTCACTCACTCACTCAAACATTCATAACCCACTCTCTTCCTTATGAGTGTAGAATAACGATGGTAGAAACAATTCATCCAATGTCATCAGGTTTTGTTATTTTCGGTGGTCGGTCGTGGGTTCGAATTTTAGATTCACCCTGATTATGTCTCCATGTTTTGTGACCACTGTGCACGTGCTCATGGGGTTCTGCAAAGTTGGAGTCTGCATACACACACACACACACACACACACACACACACACACACACACACACACACACACACACCCAGCCCCCAACCCCAACCCCCATCCCCAACCCACAACACATAAAGCTGACACGCAATGGTATAAATGAAATACTGTTAAAAGCGGCGTCAAACTAAATCCACACACCACTCATTCACCCGTTCACCCGTTCACCCACCAACTATTGTCGTGTATATTTGCGACAAACAGAGTTGTGTCCCTTGGTCCATATGATACTCGTTTCCACTCGGTTAATTCCGACAAATACACAGAGCTCGGGAATAACGGAATCACTAGTTCGAGAGTATATCGCTTAAAGTTCATAAACAGCTAACTATATGTGTAACAATTAGATGCGCAGTTGGACTTGGAGTAGAAAGAAGAGAAACATACTTTTAAAATTATAAAGAATGTCACGACTGTCACAAGGTAGGCATGAATCATGTGATAGTCACGTGAACAAAACACGCTCTGATCGCTTTCGTTAACCACTCGCGTCTTTCCGTAACCTACAGGAAGACTCGTCCCTTTCTCGATGGCCGCCATGGGTCGAAACAGCGCAAGCCAATGAGAATGCGCGGAAGGATTTGAGTACTTTGACCAATATAATCCCTTATATATGGTATAGGATTATTAAATGTTGTTTGTGTAATTTTTGAAGGGAGTGTAGATTGTCAGTTCACAGTGCGGCTTATACGGATAACAGAACTGAATTACATTAATGGTGGTTGTCACTTATTGGACCGTGCAGGATGATAACCCTACTTGCGTTTGCTCATGTTCAGGAAACGTCACACTTGACAGCGACATACTTTCCACTGAGCTAGAACTCCACTTAGCTGCTTTACAAAACTATGGATGTTGATAACATACCAAGAGTTGAAAAATGAAGTAACTGAAATAATCACCAGTTTCAAAACAATAAATATGCCTATCAAAGTCTCGTTATGAATATTGTCATAATTTTTTGTTTCGGACATTTCAGTCATTTTTGCACTTATTTACACATTTGTTTGTAGCATACCATGATTTTTAATGCTTCAGTAAAGACAATAAAGCATGAGTCAGTTTCATACCATCTTTCCGGGGCAAGGGAGTAAACTGACTTTAAAAGTACAGTGGAAACTTGACTTTTTATAGTCAGTTAACTTTCTTGCCTCGGGAAGATGGTTTCATACTGAAATATAAGAAATATAAAGGAGATGTTTGAAGAATATCTGTATGGAATCCTTCGTGACTTGTACGAGTCTCCGTTCTGATCGATTTGGTTTTATCACGTGCACAGTGGCGGCAAAGATATGCTTTGTGAATATGATGAATCGAGTTTTGAGAAACTGTATTGCAGCTGAGTAAATTAAAGCATTCCTACTTTAAACTATATTCACATGTCGATAGTAAAGGGAATCAGTCAGAATAAAACATAAATGAACATTCAAGAGACTTCAACTGAATTTAAGATTCAGGAGAGCAAATATATAAAGGAAGCTATTTAAAGGGAAAACATGCATCTTGGTACGCGGGTGAGTGATGTAGGACCTTCTGAAGCCTCCTTCCTGAAAGCAGGTCACGTGTATCAGAGTGTGTCAGCTTCAAGTGAGGGGAAAGACAAACGTGACGCAGGTTTAATCTCAAGCTCCAGCTAGGGGAAACTGACTATATATATACATACTAGTATATAGCCTGTGGCGGTTACAAAGCAAGAATCATCTTCGATTCAAAACAAATGAAATTATGAAAACGTAATTTTATTACGGCGTTGCGAACACTGACATGATCATCAGCTTCACTATCATAGATGAGGAGCGATCACTCCTACACCTTTTGAACGGAATACGTTCCTGAAATGAAGAACAAAAAGTAAATAAAATGTCGAATGTTCTTTAAAATATCAATAAATGCTCCCATTCAGGATGTGCAATTTAAGTACTATTCAAGTAATAAGTAAATTTCATGATTGAATAAAAACAATTCTCATATTTTTTTGTAATTAAAAACAATTCATTGAGTGACGGGGTGAATGTTGTTTTGTGGTGGACTAAAACAAAGATATAAACACAAATGGACGAGGTGAGTCCAACAGATTTGCATTGTTTGGTCACTTCAAACATTTGCCATTTTAAGTAAGAGAAAGCCAATTATTAAGTGAAATGTCAGGTTAGTTTCATTCTCCGTGTGGGGGCGCGGGTGACACAGTTGTCTAAGGCGCCACAATTCTCTGTGCAGAATTGTGTCCCTTGGGCACACCTGAAACCTATGATAGTGGGTTCGAATCCATCCCGCTCATGTTTCTAGGTTTGTCAGCATCAGACTTCTGAGACCTGCATCACTTCGGGCTTTCCACCCACAGAAAGCTGACACGACGTGATATAGCTGGAATAATGTTCAACGCGGCGTTAAAACACTCCCTCCCTCACTTATTCTCCATGTACGTTCGTTTGAAAGGAACAAAAAAAACATTTTTCATCTGTAAAGCCGTATAGTCATAACATCATCAAAATATATTTTCTTTCATCTTCGATTAGAAAAGGCCTGTTTGTATTACTGTAGTTCATACGCACAACAAATGCAAATCAGCATCAGCCAAAATAACTTCTTTTATTACATGGATGTGATATAGAGCTATATCATCCTATGTTGAGATTGAGCTCCGTCATTACGATTCTCATCGTCATGAAGATGAGCCTCCGTTTCCTGAACCAGCCTTAAATAGTTTGTAATATGACCACGCTTTGTCAAATCTACTTAGTCTATCTACAATTCAACTCGACGCGGTCGCCCGTCATCGCCTCTATCAGACTCGTGACGTCATGACAACACGGGAGAAAACTGAAGAAACTGAGTCACCCTGACCATCTGAGCGGATACTTCCAACTGTCCTCCCAACACGACCCTCCTACGACGAGCAAAGAGGCTGTGTCATGAATATATGGCACCACCTACTGAATCACCCTCGGAAACAGTGTTGCAGAATGACAAGGTTCCCAGCTTCCCTATATAATGGTACAGACTCAGTGTTCAACATAGAAGCTGAACCGAAGCTTACCTACCTACAGTTCTATATCTCAGAGAAAGGTAAGCGTTTCTGTTAAAAATGATATAACATTGTTAAAATATGTCAATAGTTTGCATAGCATGTTGGAAAGCAGTTATTCATTTATTTGTTTGTTGTTTAACGCCGCACTCAGCAATATTCCAGCTACATGACGGCGATCTGTGAATAATCAAGTCTGGACCAGACAGTACAGTGATTGACATCATGATCCACGCAATTGGGATCGATGACATGCATCAACCAAGTCCGCGAGCCTGACCACCTGATCCCGTTAGTCGCCTTTTACGACAAGCATAGTCGCCATTTACGGCAAGTATCGGTTGGTGAAGACCTATTCTACCCCGGATCTTCATTTACAGATACTTACTTAAACTAAAAATAAATACTCTCGTTAAAACATTCTTGAAAATACCCGCCTGCAAATACCGCCCGAGACGTTATATGTGTTTGGCAATATCATTGCTTCGGTCTTCAACAAATTTAGAACACGAGGAGCCTAGTCGTCTAAGACACGGGACTTGCGTCACTTAGAACTATGCCTGGATCCTAGGATCGTGGGTTAAAATATCAGATTCACCGTGATCGTGAGTCTTGCTTTGTAAGCAACATAACGTGCTCGTGGTTCAGCACGTGGTAATTAAACGTCATCACTTTGTGATGTAACCGAAGTACTGTTCAAAGCAGCATTAAACCAAGTCCCAGTGATAGCGATAGTATGCATGTTTCATGAATCAACAAATTAAAATTGGTTGGTATCGTCCTTCAGCAGGGACAGCAGCAAATGCCGTCGATATTTCCCGATTTAAAACACTAATTCGAACCTTATTTTTTGAGCTTGCAAACTTGGAATGAACTGTTTACTAGTTACACTGCATGATAAATATATATTTATTAAAATGCATTTATAAGGCGAAATGCATGTGTTATTCCCATCCTCTTAATTCCAAAGAGAACGCCAGAAACCTATGATTGTAGGTTGAAATTCCCGGTTCGCCCCGATTATGCTTCTAGGTTTGTCAGCACCATACCTGTGCTAGTGGGTTTCACCGGACGGGTAAACGTCTGAGACCTGCATCACTTCGGGCTTTCCTCCCACATCAAGCTGACGTGCTGTGATAAATCTGGAATTCTGTTATTAGCGGCGTTAAACCAAACTCACTCACTCACTCTAAATTCCAAATATAGACCAGTGATAGGCATGTGATATGGATTCCCTTCCCATACGTGAACTATTTACAACTTACAACTGTTATATTTTGTCTTCGGTGTTATGCATAAATTAATTGAAATTTCAAAATTGGAATGGGCCAGCATGGAAGTATTGTTGCTGTGTAAATTTGCTCAAGTTTACAAATATAAACCCATCACAGTCTACGTTTCATGGTTTCAAATTGGAAATGACACGAGACACACTGCAATTCAGTGTAGCAGACTCAACGCCCCTTGTTCTGTTCACCGTACAACGGAAGTGACTACACGTACATAAACCCACTCATTTAGCATTACGTTAGAGGAGGCTATCAATGCTTAAGTGAGGTGAGGTGAGGTGAAATTGGGTTTAACGTCGCGTCAAAGATTATTGCACTTGTATAGCGACGTGCATGCACGTGTATATGTGTGTGTGGCTGCTTGTACTAGTCCGGACTGATGCCGATTTATAGTGCTAGCTCACTGAGATACCATGCCGCAGTTTAACATGAATACCCCACTCAGACACAGTATACTGACTTCGAGCCGACCAGTCCTTGTTTTAGCCCCTAATGCCGAGCGCCAGACAGGGTAACAACAAGTACGATCTTTTAACGTCTTTTGGTATGACGCGGCCGGGGATCGAACCCCGGACCTTCCGCTCCCCGGGCGGACGCTCTACCACTAGACCACGGAGGCGGTCCAATGCTTAAGTACTTTATAGTGTTGAAGTTATTGTCACCACAACTTCTAAATGTCGCGAACACCTGGTGTCATCACTGAGTTTCAGTGATCCATGCGTGTGATTTTGCCTCTTACGTCAAATGGAATCGGTTTCTATGGATGATCGAGGCTGCTTATTCTCTGCCGTTGACGTGTTATACTTGAGTGAGTGAGTGAGTGAGTGAGTGAGTGAGTGATGCCACTTGGAACAGTAGTTCGGTTATGTCAGCTTAATGTGGAGGAAGTCCTAGAGGGTCTTGGATAATTATCACCGAGCATAGGTGGTCTGCAAACAAGGGGTCACCATCAGGGAGAATCTGGGATTCAAACCCATGTCCATAGGACCATGGCAGGCCTAAATGACGCAAGTCTACTTATGTGTTCAGCATCCTGGAAGACTATGTCAAAGTGCCTACCACCGTTTCTTGAGGGATCTCTGAACAAAGACCAACTCTTTGTATTGTGCAAATGCCCTCGGCTATGTTAAAGAAATAATGACTATTATTGTTGTGACTTAAAGCTAACCAAAATTGCGGATTGATATGAAGGGAAAATGTAATACATAATCATTAACATTGCCATATAACTTTATATCTCTAATTCAGAAACATGCAGTCCTCCATCGCTCTCCTGTGCCTCGTTGTCCTGGTGTGCGTGCACTCCAGCGTGACCGACACCCTGGACACCCTGGACACCCAGGACACCCACCTGTCACGTCATAGACGGGTGAGGTCTGTGGGTGACATCGTGGACGGACTGACCACCAAGTTCAGTAAATATCTGTCATCTGTTTTCGACGTGGACGAGGACGACTTCAAGGACATCCTGAAGGCGCTGGGGAAACTGAAGTTGGCGGTACTGAAGGCACTCCTGAATAAATTCTTTGACTTGAAGGACAAGCACCACGATTTTGGAAGCGCAGAAAATTTCCAGAGAGTTTCCCAAATGATGGAATCCTTGGAGGCAGATATTCAACAGCAGGAGGCAACCAGCGGGGTCACCCAGGACACCCAACTGTCCCGCCCTGTGGATGGCATCGTGAATGGACTGACCACCAAGTTCAGTAAATATCTGTCATCTGTTTTCGACCTGGACGAGGACGACTTCAAGGACATCCTCAAGGCGCTGGGGAAACTGAAGTTGGCGGTACTGAAGGCACTCCTGAATAAATTCTTTGACTTGAAGGACAAGCACCACGATTTTGGAAGCGCAGAAAATTTCCAGAGAGTGTCCCAAATGATGGAATCCTTGGAAGCAGATATTCAACAGCAGGAGGCAACCAGCGGTGTCACTCAGGACACCCAACTGTCCCGCCCTGTGGATGGCATCGTGGACGGACTGACCACCAAGTTCAGTAAATATCTGTCATCTGTTTTCGACGTGGACGAGGACGACTTCAAGGACATCCTGAAGGCGCTGGGGAAACTGAAGTTGGCGGTACTGAAGGCACTCCTGAATAAATTCTTTGACTTGAAGGACAAGCACCACGATTTTGGAAGCGCAGAAAATTTCCAGAGAGTTTCCCAAATGATGGAATCCTTGGAAGCAGATATTCAACAGCAGGAGGCATCCAGTGGTGAGTGTGTTGTACTTTAGTGCGGCAGTTTTACCGTTATATATTGATTAATTGAATAAATTGAAAAATATTAATTGGATAATACAGACACAAAATATACAATAAAAGCATTTCTACATGATGAGCGTTTGGCATGTCAACGTTGGTTGAGACAGCTTATTTACAGCAAATATGCATCAATATAACAAATGAATTAACAATCGTTGTAACTAGTAACCACTTATGTCAAGAGAATTCACCATAAGATTAACCTGGGGTTTTTTAACATGAACCATGAACATTCATGGTAGAAAATATATTTGAACTATGCACATTGTCATCAGATTAACATTATTGACTTGATATATGATGTGTTTTTGTCTAATTTCAGGGGCACCTGCAGCTTACGTTACCATGACGTCATTGACAATTCCACTGCTGCCAGTGATAGCTAAAGTTTTAAACTGACCTGTGAGGAATATGTTATATTCATTTGTGTGTTGATGTCAGGGAAATAAAAATTCGTTTTTTTAAACAAGTCTATGTGTTTTTCTTCTGGTGCTAGAGAAATACAAATTTATGTATTCAATGAACCACGTGAATGAGTTCAGTTTAGCTTAAGACAGTTTGAACAGTTGTTCAGTTATATCACAGTGTATCAACTTGATATGGGAAGTAGAACTTTGGTTAAACCTACGGGCATCTATTGGGTGCTGACAAACCTGGAAACGTTATCAGGGTGCATCTGGAATTCGAACCCACGACTATAGTATTCTAGCCTGCCTAGGGGATGCAGTTCTGCACAGTGCATTTTGGCGCTTCAGACGACGGTTCCTACTGCATGTACACATGATGTTGAAGGCGTTGTCCGAAATGGGACTGATAGCATAGAGGAGTATATCACAGCACATCAAACGCTCAACTCAAACATCGTGACACTGTAATTTGACAATAACTGGATATCCCATGTTATATATCGCAAATATTTCACACAATGTATATTTATACACATACTGTAAATAATCGAGGGTGGGATAGATAACCTAGTGATTGATATAGTGAGCATCGTCGTCGGTGTACGATGACACACAATCAACCAGGACACCCAGCCTGACCCTCCGAAATATTTGGTCGCCAATAACGACCATCCTAAGTGGGATAGATAATCTAGTGATTGATATAGTGAGCAACGTAGTTGGTGTACGATGACACACAATCAACCAGGACACCTAGCCTGACCCTCCGAAACATTTGGTCGCCAATTACGACCATCCTAGGTTACTGGGGACATATCATTCTATCACATAATTCCTGCATGGAGGACAATCGGGCGCTCCCCTTTACCAGGGGGGATCTTGCGCTGTGGCTCTCTGGTATCTGGGTGAGACCATTGGAAAGACGCTGTGTGGCAGGCGTTAACCCAGGTTTCGTCCAAATAGACAGGTTCATAGCCTTCTTCTCGTTTCTTTTTAATAGTGCGCAAATAATTGATACGCAAACGCGAATGATATCTGGTCGTTCACACATTGCTAGTTTCGACCTTTTCGTCTTTTTGTACTGATATCCAAATTTGGAAAGGAGTTTACAAATGGTCCATTTGGAAATATCAAAGTCATGCTCTGTAAGGAGAATCTGTTTTAGTTTTCGCATTGAAATAAATTCATTTTCTCGTGTTAACCGCCGAATCACGTCCCTGACAACTTTCTTATCAAAGGAATCTAACTTTAATTTCCTATCCTGTTTTGAGATGCCCCCTAAGGGATGTGCAGGGGAGCATGTGTTTTTATGAGAGTTCAAAAGCTTAACTACGGTTTGTTTGGGAAGCCGTAACGCATGAATTGTTCTTTTCGTGTACTTTGAAATGTCAAAGAAGGGCGAACGTCTTTCACTTTAAGCCTTAAAGTATTCAAATATTTTAACAACGAAACCTTTCGCATCAGCAGAAAGATGCTTGCGCTGAGACATCATGAAATCTAATGCTAACACCGTATGCGTGCGTGCGTGATTCCCGTGCAACCTTTCGAGTCGAACAGGTCTGGTTGTTGATGAAATATAGTGATAGCTAAATAGACAGATTTTTTATTCATGCACCGATTGTCTTTAAATGTAATATCCAGTTATGTATGACTGTTTAATAATCTAATACCAACTTTGACTGGAGTAGGTCCAATAGTTTTTCAGATATTGTAGTAAACGTCGGTACCTTAAATTAACTTCCAGACTATAGGTAGGAATTGTTTCCATGAAAAAATATAAATTGAAGCATTTGATAATGCAAAAGCTACCATGCTGATGACTAGTGCATATGCTAAGTGTCGTTGAAAAACATAGAACGGTTTTCAGTTATGGCTCGGAATATGATGAGAACGCAAACGCACACGCAAATTCAAACGCCCATGCGTATATACACACATATGTATGAAGGTGCATGTGAACGGGATATAAGTCGCCGCAAGCAGTTGTGCGTCTCTCGAGACATATGATCGTTGGTTCAAATTTTAGATTCACCATGATTTTGTTTCCAGGTATCTTTTACTTTTCACACACTCACTCACTCACTCACTCACTCACTCACTCACTCACTCACACTGTTTCCCTGTTTCATGTGTGGAGATAAACAGTTATGTCCCTTCTACCATGTGACACTCGTTTCCACAATCATCACCACTGGCGTGTTTCCGTAACCTACAAGAAGCCTGGCCAAGGATGACACGAATTGGTCATGAACGAAAATGCAACTCGAGATATGATGCAAAATGACTGCCAGAAGTAGAAATACTACATCCATACGATGTTAACAATGTTACAGTGTTTTGTTTTTTTTGTTTTTTTTTGTTTTATTGCTTGAAAAAGCTGCCATTGTACTACGAATGTACACCGCATACAGATGAACTATTTTGGAGTGAGTGAGTTTGGTTTTACGCCGCTTTTAGCAATATTCCAGCAATATCACGGCGGGGGACGCCAGAAATGGGCTTCAAACATTGTACCCATGTCGGGATTCGAACCCGGGTCTTCGGCGTGACAAGCGAACGCTTTAACCACTAGGCTACCCGACCGCCCCTCTATTTTGGAAAACAGCTCATAATGTGTAGAAGAAATTACATGTAAAGTGTGACTTGATCATGAGGTAAAACAAAAAGGAAAACACTTTGAACATTATGAAGAGGTCATGACTGTCAGAGTACAGGAATGAAGGATGTGATCGCGCATCTTTCCAAATCATCCAACTCCCCATCCGCTACCTACAAGAAGCCACGCCCCCTTTCTCGATGGCCGCGAGTGCTTAAATTGTTGGGTTGTCAGTTTCGGACCCGATGTATACGAATAACATATTTGAGGTGATAAGATTTAGGTTGTTACCTGTAGGATCATGTGGGGGTACGGGTGGCCCAGTTGCCCATTCGCCGCGATTCGATGTGCAGAGTTGCGTCCCTTGGGCACGCCAGAAACCTATGATTGTGGGTTCGAATCCCGGTTCGCCCCGATTATGTTCCTAGGTTTGTCAGTACCACACCCGTGCTCGTGGGTTTTACCGAACTGGCAAAAGTCTGAGACCTGCATCACTTCGGGCTTTCCTACCACATTAAGCCGACACGCCGTGATATAACTGTAAAGCTGTTAAATGCGGCGTTAAACCCAACTCACTCACTCACTCACTCGCTGTAGGATCATGTTCGTTGACATTCAGGAAAAAAGCTCGCTTGACAGTGACGAACTTGTCATTGAGCAATAATACATCAAACGTTAGAGCACGCATTAACGCAAAAGATAGAATAACAATGTATGTACCTATCAAAGTCTTGCTGTAAAATATTCTGTTTTCGTCAATATCCATTTGCGATATTTACATATTTGTATGTGACATACAAAGGGAGCTAATGCTTTCCGTAAATGCGATAAAACAGAATTCAGTGTCATACGTTAGATCACGACAATGTTCTCAAATACTGGAATTTGTTGTGTGGACATGTAAGTAGTAAAAGAACAGGGGCGGGATCTGTTCAGGTCATTCCTATATTTTTGACGACACTCTTCAATCATTTTAAAATTGAACAAGAGTCATCCGAAGATGACATATCCCCCCGACGTGGCATGTCGGTAAACTGTGTGTACCTTCAAATGTATTTAGATTGGCAAGGAAATCTTTTTCCTTGATGCCAAAACCAGAAATATAATGATTGTTATTAAATATCGGTTCATGTAGCTCACTTTCTGATGATCTCATGAAATTGTAATAACAATAACTTCGCAGATTCTCATATGAATAGCTCTGGAGTAGCCTCATGACACAAAGGCATAAAGAGAATGTACTAGGTTATGTAGCTCACATCATATATAGTATATGATATCGGTAAATAGTACTACACCTTAGAATTATATGTCAGGGGCTACAAATTAAAAAGATTAAAATCTATAAATAACAAACTGCACTACTAGTGAACATGATTGATATGTGCATAAAGTTTGGTGAATCTCTGCAGCATGGTTTAGAAGATATGCTCCAGACGAGGACATTACCCTACTAGTAAGTTCATCAATTTTCAATTTAAATTGGTAAAGAAAAAAAAGAAAAAATCTGTTAATAGCAAAAGCACCACAACATAACCTGCGTGAAAGGTGTAAAAACTTTTGAGAAGCTAAGTTGTATGGTTCGGGAGATAAGGCCGGACAAGAGCACTACCCTCAAATTTCCTAAGTTCATAATATTTCCATGGAAACGACAAAAACATAAAATTCTAAAAATCTCTAAATAGCAAAAGGCACTTCTACTGAGCCTGATTGGTAAGTGTACCAAGTTTTGTGAAGCTAGGTTGTACGGTTTAGGAAATAGGCTCCGGACAGACAATGATTACAGACGGACAAACTGACGGATGGACGGACAGACGGACATACTGATGGCTATATCCCCCCGTCATTATATGTCGGGGGGATAACAATTGTAATATTTATTTGCGGCGGTGTAACAATTACACGATAAGCCGCTTCAGTATCAGTTTCAGTGAGCGACATCTTCCTGTGATTTACATGTACAGCAACTGTCCAAAGTTCATTCAGTACGTACAAGGAACGAATTGATTATTTGTGATTTAACAGAAACATTTGATAATTTACATGTATGTTAATAACAACTGTGTGTACCTTTATGCGAATTCTGAAAAAAACAATCCTGAATCTATAGACCATTTATTCTATTAGTGTGAAATTGTTTCTAATATATGACACAAAATAGAAAAATGGATTCTCTTAATAAGTACTAATACAGTTTTCAAATCTAACTATTCTATTAGGCATAAAAAGGTAAAAACAACAATCCTATTAATGCAATCATATCATTGGTTTAGAAAATTATTTATAGATCTAGCATAAACAAGACTATGCCAAAAAATGTGTTGAAGACATAAATGAGAGAGGATTAGATATAATGGCCTCACTAAATTTATTATTTTTCTAGTGGAGAAAAAGAAAAGTTCTTTTCTTTCTGGTCATATCTATACTAACTGTTGAAGGAAAGTAATTTGTTGAATGTACCTTAATGTGCCTTATCTATAAAGGTTAAGTATAAACCTGTATTGACGATCTATATTGTTTCCAAATTGAATGCATATCAAAACCTATACACGTATATTGTGATGTTCTTATTAGCTTTCATTTAACATGTACCTTTTTTAAATACAGTATGTATCTATATATACACAGCTATCAATTTCAGCAATATGTAATTATGCATAATAAATGTATTGATTCATATTAAGTCAAACATAATATGCGTACTGTATCAATAATGTAACATGTGTTGCTTGCCTGTACCTGAAGATACAGGAAATTAAAAATAAACAAACTGTGTGAGGGGTAAAATGGTGTTTTACGGGGAAATAAGAATACGAAATAAATGCAAAATTATATACAAAGCGTGCCCATAAGATTGTTTTAAAATATCGACCTTTTTAGGAGGCAGGAAAGGAGGGCCAATGCACAGGAAAAAAGAAACAGTGAATTATTTATAGATTGATTCGTCAGACCTATTGTCCATACCTTAACAAAGCAAATACAATTAGATTGCTTCTGCTACTGAAAATCATCTTCCGGAGGCAAGCGTATCCAGTAGCCTGTATCAAAGACTTTGATAAAAACGCTAGTGGACGCTCATGCCTCGGGGAGATGCTGAAAATACGGACAATGATATTGCATATTCACCATCACCCAAAATAACTCGTTTGATTATAGTGTTGTCATTTGTGCAGACAGATATAGAGCTGTATCATGCTATGTTGTTATTGAGGGTCGACATTACGACTACCCGCGTCATGAAGATAAGACTCCGTTTCCTTATGAGTAACATCTCCACGCTTTGTCACATCTACTTAGGTTATCTATAGTTAAGTCTCCATGATCGCCCTGTCATCCCCGCTATCAGGGTCGTGACGTCATAACAACACGGGAGATAACTCTTGCTGTTATTGTCTTGTACTGTAAAGATCAAACCTGACACCTAAATAAATAGGTCACAGGAAGTTATACGTGAACTGGAAGGGAAACCCTCTCCACCTGAGCGGATGCTTCCAATTGTCCTCCCAAATGACACGACCCTCCTACGACAAGCAAAGAGGCTGTGTCATGAATATATGGCACCACCTACTGAATCACCCTCGGAAACAGTGTTGCAGAATGACAAGGTTCCCAGCTTCCCTATATAATGGTACAGACTCAGTGTTCAACATAGAAGCTGAACCGAAGCTGACCTACCTACAGTTCTATATCTCAGAGAAAGGTAAGCCTTTCTGTCATTTATATTATGACGTTTTATTCATTTGCATTTCTTGTATGGATAAGATATTCAGATGCAGATTTTTGCCTAAGGTACAAATAATATTCTTATCGTTGAAACAGGCTATCGGTGCTTCAGTACTTTTATTATATAATTATTATTATAAATATTGATTTTGCTGTCAATGTGTTTTCGCGAACACCTGGTATCATCACTGATTTTCAGTGATTCATGCGTAAAACTTTCACCTTGGCTTTAATTTTATGCACTTAGGAATCTAATAATGTTTGAGATATTACTATTGTCGTCACTTAAAATTAACCTTACACATACAGAATATATTTTAACTAGAAATATTGCGGATTTATATGTGGGGAAAATAAAAAACCATAAAACTTAAGTCATTTCTCTATTCAGAAACATGCAATCCTCCATCGCCCTCCTGTGCCTCGTTGTCCTGGTGTGCGTGCACTCCACCGTGACCGACACCCTAGACACCCAGGACACCCACCTGTCACGTCATAGACGGGTGAGGTCTGTGGGTGACATCGTGGACGGACTGACAACCAAGTTCGGTAAATATCTGTCATCTGTTTTCGACGTGGACGAGGACGACTTCAAGGACATCCTCAAGGCGCTGGGGAAACTGAAGTTGGCGGTACTGAAGGCACTCCTGAATAAATTCTTTGACTTGAAGGACAAACACCACGATTTTGGAAGCGCAGAAAATTTCCAGAGAGTGTCCCAAATGATGGAATCCTTGGAGGCGGATATTCAACAGCAGGAGACAACCAGCGGTGTCACTCAGGACACCCAACTGTCCCGCCCTGTGGATGGCATCGTGGACGGACTGACCACCAAGTTCAGTAAATATCTGTCATCTGTTTTCGACGTGGACGAGGACGACTTCAAGGACATCCTGAAGGCGCTGGGGAAACTGAAGTTGGCGGTACTGAAGGCACTCCTGAATAAATTCTTTGACTTGAAGGACAAGCACCACGATTTTGGAAGCGCAGAAAATTTCCAGAGAGTGTCCCAAATGATGGAAACGTTGGAGGCGGACATTCAACAGCAGGAGGCATCCAGCGGTGAGTGTTATGTAGTTCAGTCTGGAAGTATTACCGCTATTAAACTATTCCAAAAAATATCGATTGGATAATACAGATACAAACATATTACGAAACCATTTCTATAATTGTTTGCATGTCAACGTTGTTTGAGACAGCCTATTTCTATACCAGATGACATTAACGGATGTTTGTAAGCAAATATGCATCAATATATCAAATTATTAATAATCGTAGCAAGTAACCACTTATATTAGGAGCCTATAAGATTAACATGAGGTGTTTTATGACATGAGTGAGTGAGTGAGTGAGTTAATGCTTTACGTCATCACATCGGCAATATTTCAGCCATATCGTGACGAGTTATGACATGAAGATGCATGGTAGAAAATAAGCTTTAACTATGCATATTGGTAACAGTATTAACTTGTTCTTTTGTTTGGCTGTTGTGTTTCTTGGTTTGTTGTTTAACTTCGCAATATTCCAGCTGTATGACGGCGTCTGTAAATAATCGCGCCTGAACCAGACAATCCAATGATTGCCAAGATGAGCATCGATCCACGTCAATCTAGGGTTGCTGTAGACCTGATTCTTCAAGAGTACACTAATTTGGAATGATATATGATGGGTTTTGTCTTATTTCAGGGGCGCCTGCAGCTTACGTTACCATGACGTCATTGACAATTCCACTGCTGCCAGTGATAGCTAAAGTTTTAAACTGATCTGTCAGGAATATGTTATATTGTGTGTTGATGTCAGGGAAATAAAAATTCGTTTTTTAAACATGTCTATGTGTTTTTCTTCTGGTGCTAGAGAAATACAAATTTCTGTATTCAATGTACCACGTGAATGAGTTCAGTTTAGCTTAAGCCAGTTTGAACAGTTGTTCAGTTATATCACATTGATCAACTTGATATGGGAGGAAATAGAACGATAACATGTATGGTGCTGACACAAACCTGGAAACGTTTTTAGGGTGCATCAGGGTTCCGAACCCACGACTATAGTATTCTAGCCTGCCTAGGCGATGCAGTTCTGCACAGTGCATTTTGGCGCTTCAGACGACGGGTCCACCCTGCATGTACACATGATGTTGAAGGCGTTGTCCGCAATGAGACTGATAGCATAGAGGAGTATATCACAGCACCGTGACACTGTAATTTGACAATAACTGGATATCCCATGTTATATATCGCCAATATTTCACACAATGGATATTTATACACATACTGTAAATAATCGAGGATGGGATAGATAACCTAGTGATTGATATAGTGAGCATCGTCGTCGGTGTACGGTGACACACAATCAACCAGGACACCAAGCCTGACCCCCCCGAAACATCTGGTCGCCAATAACGACCATCCTAAGTGGGATAGTTAACCTAGTGATTGATATAGTGAGCATCGTCGTCGGTGTACGATGACAACCAACAAACCAGGACACCCAGTCTGACCTTCCGAAACATTCGGACCAACTACGACCATCCTCGGTTACTGGGGACCAGTTCTATCACAGAACCCCCCGATTTATAAGAAAGTCGTAGATATACGACCCTTGATATGAGTATGTGTTCGGTAAATCGAATATTCGATAACACGGACGTTCTGTACTTAAATACACGCACTGACATTACAGACCTGGCTATAAAAACAGTAAGGCATCACACTATACACACAGTGGCAGTGGCAGTGAACAACCTATCGCAAAAGAAGTAATCATCAAGTGTCTCAAGTGCATATTTAACCTGTGGTTCTGGTGATGGCGGGGCGGTCGGGTAGCCTAGTGGTTAAATCGTTCGCTCATCACGCCGAACACCCGGGGTCGATTCCAAAGCTTGGTACAATATGTGAAGCCCATTTCTGGTAATCCCTGCCATGGTATTGCTTGAATAGTGTTAAACGTAAAACCATATTCACTCACTCACCCCTACACACAAGGGTAGACAGAATGTCGAAGGGAGCATATCGTCAATGCCATATATTTGCCTAACCAAAATTAGAACTAAATCTTAATAATGCTTTAACAGAAATAGTTTCAGACATAGAATTATAAACGTTCTGTAGTTATAATACGATGCAGGTGTCATACATACAGGCGCTATGAATTTAGAACACGGTTATTGTGTGAGACACGAAATGGCAGACATCAGCCCCATTGTTGAGTAACAGAACTACAAAGTTCATATATTGACAGGAAATCTAAAATATCCGTGTGCGACAAACCGTTTTGGTTATATGATTCCCTTATCTATCAGGTGCAGGTATGTAATTAAATTGTCGAACTGACCTTTGTCATGTCGGTTTGACCATGTGCGTGGCCGCGTGACGTGACGTACCTTTTGACACACACTGACCTGTAGAGATGAAGGTCAATCCCTGTATAGCCTTCACTGCATTTACTGCCTCACTAACTCAAGGTTTGACTCAAATAAACATCAGTAGTATCAGGAATATAAAAATGAAATGTTCACAAACACAGCATTTATATTCATTTCCCAAAACGCAACGTTGTGCTGCAATGAAAGGGTCTTTATAAAAAGCTCGATTTGTCCTAAAACATCAATGCCAATCACAGCAACAGAAGAAGGATATATTACGTGAACTACAGAGAATAACTGTTAAAAAGTATTACTGTTAAAAAGTATTTAAAGAATAAAATAATGGAAACAATGAATATGTAATTTAAACTGCCGGGCAAACGAAAGTATACACGTAAAACGTGGATTTGACCAAAAAATTACAAACGTTATCAAAACGTTCCTAGACTGAAGGGGGGCACGTCTGTGCGCCGTGATTCGCTCTGCAGAGTTGCGTCCCTTGGGCACGCCAGAAACCTATGATTGTGGGTTCGAATCCCGGTTCGCCCCGATTATGTTACTAGGTTCGTCAGCACCATACCCGTGCTCTTGGGTTTCACCGAAGTGGTAAACGTCTGAGACCTGCATCACTTCGAGCTTTCCTCCCACATTAAGCTGACACGCCGCGATATAACTGGAATACTGTTAAAAGTGGCGTTAAACCCAACTCACTCACTCCTAGACTGAAAAAAGTCCCCGAAACACTGCAAATGGAAACACATAAAGTTTCCTGGTCGAAAACCGTAAGGGGGGAATATTCATGTGGGAAAATATTCCAGTGTTAGTAACACACTGGCTGTCGAAATAAAATCCTTGGCAAACATTTCCACTGGATCCGAGAAAGGATCTCCAGGGGGACTACATATCCTATTACACAAACTAAAGGTCCAAAGCACAACGATGATACCCGTATCAAATACATCCCCATCGAATAACCATTTCTTGTTTGCTTCATTTCTAGACATCATCAAACATGGATGTGTACTTTCTCTTGCCCGGCAGTTTATATTGTTTAACATAGTTCCTCACACACACGCATGCACAATTACTGTGATATGTTGTTGGTTGGTTTGGTTGGTTGGTTTGTTGTTTTACGCCGCACTCAGCAATATTCCAGCTATATGACGGTGGTCTGTAAATAATCGAGTCTGGACCAGACAATCCAGTGATTGACATCCTGAGCATCGATCCACGCAATTGTACATCGTCTCACACACAAGTATGCATACTCTTTGTGATATGTACATATTTTTACACACATTCATGCACAATTAGTGTGTCATGTACACCTCCTTACACACGCGCATGCACAATTATTGTGATATGTACACCTCCTCACACACGCGTATGCACAATTACCGTGACATGTACGCCACCTTACACACGCGCATGCACAATTACTGTGACATGTACACCTCCTTACACACCCGCATGCACAATTACTGTGACATGTACACCTCCTTACACACGCGCATGCACAATTACTGTGACATGCACACCTCCTCACACACGCGCATGCACAATTACTGTGTCATGTACACCTCCTTACACACCCGCATGCACAATTACTGTGACACGTACACCTTCTTACACACCCGCATGCACAATTACTGTGACATGTACACCTCCTTACACACCCGCATGCACAATTACTGTGACATGTACACCTCCTCACACACCCGCATGCACAATTACTGTGACATGTACACCTCCTCACACACGCGCATGCACAATTACTGTGTCATGTACACCTCCTTACACACCCGCATGCACAATTACTGTGTCATGTACACCTCCTTACACACCCGCATGCACAATTACTGTGACACGTGCACCTTCTTACACACCCGCATGCACAATTACTGTGACACGTGCACCTTCTTACACACCCGCATGCACAATTACTGTGACATGTACACCTCCTTACACACGCGCATGCACAATTACTGTGACATGTACACCTCCTTACAAACGCGCATGCACAATTACTGTGACATGTACACCTCCTTACACACCCGCATGCACAATTACTGTGACACGTGCACCTTCTTACACACCCGCATGCACAATTACTGTGACACGTGCACCTTCTTACACACCCGCATGCACAATTACTGTGACATGTACACCTTCTTACACACGCGCATGCACAATTACTGTGACATGTACACCTCCTTACAAACGCGCATGCACAATTACTGTGACATGTACACCTCCTTACACACCCGCATGCACAATTACTGTGACACGTGCACCTTCTTACACACCCGCATGCACAATTACTGTGACACGTGCACCTTCTTACACACCCGCATGCACAATTACTGTGACATGTACACCTCCTTACACACCCGCATGCACAATTACTGTGACATGTACACCTCCTCACACACGCGCATGCACAATTACTGTGACATGTACACCTCCTTACACGCGCGCATGCACAATTACTGTGTCATGTACACCTCCTTACACACCCGCATGCACAATTACTGTGTCATGTACACCTCCTTACACACGCGCATGCACAATTATTGTGACATGTACACCTCCTCACACACCCGCATGCACAATTACTGTGTCATGCACACCTTCCTACATACACGCATGCACAATTAGTGTGACATGTACACCTCCTTACACACGCGCATGCACAATTACTGTGACATGTACACCTCCTTACACACGCGCATGCACAATTACTGTGACATGTACACCTTCTTACACACCCGCATGCATAATTACTATGACATGTACACCTCCTTACACACCCGCATGCACAATTACTGTGACATGTACACCTTCCTACATACACGCATGCACACTTGCTGTGACATGTACTATCATCACTATCTGTTGGTGATGACACCTGGTTTCCACGATAAGATGAGCTTATTTTATTAACTGGTGGCACCCGTCACAGCACATGGCATCCGTCAAAGGCAACGCGCACAACGCGTCACTCGTGTTGCCAAGTCCACCCCAATCGTTGTAGCCTTCGGTAAGATGTTAGGGACACATCCTTCACATGACGCCTTGCTTTCAGGCGGGCTGCATGGAACCTTCCTGTTTTTCAGGGGAATTCTCTATTGAAAACAGGTTTTGAATCTACGATTTCCGCAATTAATGTAATGAGACGATCTGGTCTAGGTGTCCTATTTTGGGGCCTGCCACGCCAAGGTCTCTTGGCAACCACGCCCATTTAACGGTACTTGTTCCACAGCCGAGAAATTACAATTTTTGATTTGCCAAACATTCGGAAAACACTTAAGATACTGACGCCCCCCAACCCCTAACCCCAACCCTAACCCCTAACCCCAACCCCTAACCCCAACCCCTAACCCCACATTCGACCCCTCTGTGGTACACATGTTTTCTCTCCATAACACATTGTCTCGGAGCCATTTAAGCGTGTGCTGAACTCATTTGCATTAGTGATTGTGAGTTCCCCTATTGTTTCAACTTTGGTTTCTTTGTGCACGTGCATCACGTGCTGTTAATGCATGATGTGAAATTTCATTGTGATTAAATGTTGCGTAAAATGCAACACCACAGTATTGTAAATATACACCTCAACGACAGTTACATCCAAACCATTAGTTGCCTTGTGAAGTATATATTCAAGAAATAAATGACGAGTGGTTTATTCTCCCTGCAGTGTTTTGTTGAACGATAAACAACAGTCGTTTATTTTATATCAGAAATAATGAGGGGGCGAAGCCTGTATCGTGATCCAATGTACAAACTTTACAATTATTTACCCAAATTTCAATAATGATGTCTCCCTGAATAGAATCCGACCTCTTAAATTCGGACAAGTTTATTTTACGAACAGGTGGGTTAAATTTGGTATTTCCTGCACATTCTCACAATCCTCAAGTCGACTATCTGAATCTTTTCTTAAAAAAACGATTGTCGGCCACTGCGTTTATTCGAATCTCCAGAGATGACGTCATGAAAGAACAATGTTTTATCTTGAAATAAACCACTTATATATGAACATAGCTATTAGTAAGCAATCACACTGTGTATCAGGTCCAGCTGATATTGGCCGATTGCGGTCATTACCCTTGAACCATCTCATGACATCCTGTCCCCATTCTGGTTCTCCCACAATAGCCAATTCACAAGTAGAATACAACCAGCCTCTTAGTGTTACAGATACTGAAGATATATTAAGGCAGTCCAGCATTCTATATGTAGTTACATTAAAATACATAATTAATAGTTACAATATGCAGTCATCGATAACAGTAGAGTTACTCGTTTCTGGATGTTAAGTTGGGGTAAAAGTGCTGCTAACAGTTTCATTAGCAGAACCATTAGTGATGTCATGTGATTCTGACGTCATGGTAACCAATGACCTCTGCAAAGCATTGTGATGCAATTTCATTGCAGCGATATCTACAATGTAGATATCGCTAAGCTGGTTCCCGGCTCCCTATGCGCGTCGTCAACTTGTGATATTAGAGACAGGGCCCAGCTTAAGATATCGCTTGCTCTCACACAAGTGATATTTCCCGTGGGACCCAGTTTTGGTAAGCTGGGCCCCGTCTCTAATATCACAAGTTGACGTCGCGCATAGGGAGCCGGGAACCAGCTTACCACTTTTGGATGATAAGTCCAGGTTCTTGACGTCATGGCGCTATGAGAGATATGATTTCATGCTTGTTGTGAGTAGTTCGTCAATGTAAGTCACAGTCATCACTGTTCCAGCCAGATCACGGTGAAAGAGTGGATGGTCATAGTCAACTCAGAGGAAGGAAGGCTCTCATCTCAGAAGCATATAGGAAATATCCAATTGTGGCTCATAACCACACCGCCCTCCTCCGTTGAGAAAAGGGGCTGAGTAATCACTACTTGGCACCCTCCCCGACACAGCTGAGGAAGCAAGGGTGTCGCATCATCTCCCGACGGCAGGAAGAAAGGTCACAGCTGACCATATATAACGGATGTGGCGCCAGCGTCCCACAGCAGAAGCTCTACAGAAGCTGCACCGATCTCATCCATCCACAGCCATACAACACAGGGAAAGGTAAGTAACTTATATATAATAACTGTGAAGCATCGAATAATTTTATAAATACAAAATATAGGTGTCCGAAAATTGTACTAATCCAAGATGGCGACGGGCGCATGTAAGACCGTGTTACACTATTCTCCTGTTTGACACTTTAAACAAGATGTTAAGAAAAAAATTTTGTAATGTTTCATTTAAAAAAAAAAAAAATATTGATATACAATATTTACGCGCCACCCTCAGTCTAGCCAGCTAGGTTCACACAGTATGTTCACGCTTGCCAAACTAATTAACTTTAAATATTTATTATGAAATAATAATAAACTGACGGAATGTAACATTTATATTTTTTATGTAAAAGGTTTAACGTCAGAGAACAGTGAGGCTCGATTTATCTTCCGAAACGGACGCCATTGGCCGTAAAAGGCAAATAGTTATGAAAATTTTATGAACTGATCACTGAAAATTAGTGATGTCACGAGATATTCGCGAAAGGAAGCATGACAGAAAGTACAGCTACTCAAACAATTCACATAAGAATAAGAGACGTACTAATGAAAAAAATCACATGCAGTTTCTCTTTGAAATACTTAAAACACATAAATGTATATTCATGACACCCGTGATGAGGAAAGATTGCCTCAAAGTTATCTACAGTTAGGGTAAGTCTCTGAAACATCACTGAGGTTATATGTTTGTTACGAATAAGAGAATATATTCTAATTAATTTCAATTTCACTATATTATTAATTGGGTTTTTTTTTAGATTAGGTTATCAAGACATATGTAGTCTGTGTCTTGCAACTACTGTTTATTGGGGGCACGGGTGGCCCAGTCGTCAAAGGCCCCGTTGTATCCTTTAGTCTTTCCATGAATCTATTTTCGTGGGGTCGAATCCCAGATTTGCTATGAGTATGGTCATTGGTTTGTCGGCACCATACTCGTACTCATCGGTTTCTCCAAAGTGTTAGATGTCTGAGACCTGCATCACTCAGGGTTTCCTTTCACCCTAAAATGCACCCATGAAGATCCATGCTTGCCGTAAAAGGCGCCTATGCTTGTAGTAAGAGGCGACTAACGGGATCGGGGGGTCAGGCTCGCTGACTTTGGTGATACATGTCATCGTATCCGAATTGCGTAGATCGATGCTCATGATGTCAATCACTGGATTGTCTGGCCCAGGCTCGATTATTTACAGACCGCCGTCATATAGCTGGAATATTGCTGAGTGCGATGTTAAACATACAAACACTTTAAGATGACACACCTAGATATAACTGAAGTCTGGTTAATTTTCGTGTCATCGTACCCCGGCGGCATCTAACATTGCTCATAGTATCAGCCACTGGTTTGTGCGGTCCAAACTTGCAAATCTACAGACCTAATGATGCAGTTTGCATATTAATGATTGCGGGGTTAAACAACATTCACTCACTCGCTCAGAGTACGTATTCCGAATGTGTACAGAAGCTCCCAGCACTAATAGTCTGGATGACAGATTTTTTTCGGAGTAACGGGGTCCAGATTACCGAGGTTACATGGGACAGATAAAAAATTCGAATCCTTCTTCTTCAGAAACATGCGGTCTTCCATTATCCTTCTGTGGCTCGTTGTACTGGTCTGTGTGAACACCCAGGACATCCAAGACAGCCAGGACACCCAAAACACCAAACTGTCACGTTCTAGGCGGTCTGTGAAGGAGATCGTGGAGGGTTTGAAGACTGGATTTAGCAGACATCTGTCTTCCGTTTTCACTCTGGCAAAGGATAAGTTTAAGGAAGTCCTCTCCGCTCTTGGAAAACTTAAGCTAGCTGTAGCCAAAGGGATCCTGAAAAAGTTCATTGGCTTGAAAGACAAGCAGCATGATTTCGGCGATGCAGAAAGTGCCCAGAGAGTGGCCAAAATGATGGAGGTTCTGGAGGAAGATATCGAACGGCAGGAGAATGGTAAGAGTACTTCAGAAATAAACAAATTAATTTTCGTTCGTGCGTCCGTTTGTTCGTTCGCTCTTTATTCATTCATTCATTCATTCATTCATTCATTCATATATTGATTTATCAACTTACTGATTGATAAACCAGTTATTCGAAAGCCATTAACCATCAAACTTTCGGCTCAAGATCACTTGACATTAATCAGTAGTAATGACATTATCAATGGCATGGATTAATTACACTAAGCAAGGCAAAATATACTGATTACATCGTATAAACATGTGGTATCCCTGAAATTGGACTTTGAAAAGACCCGCTACCATACATTGTGAAGTTATAATTGATGAATACATGTTCTGTTTCAGGAGCGTCAGCTTCATACGTCACCGTGACGTCCTTGACGATTCCTCTTCTAGCAATTGTGACGCTGAGGTTCTAAGATAATCTAGATTACGTTGAAGAACCCCGACCGGAAATAACTTAATAGTGATGCTGATGAACGTTTGGTGCATCGTGATACTCCGTGCCGCGATATATCCATCGGCAGGTCACGTATCGATAGTAACATAACAACTTGAATTTAAAATACTGTTTTCTAGAAGACGCCTGGAGCTACCGGATTGTCAAGAGATTGAAATGTACTCACAGTGTCAAGTTTCCAGTCATCACTGCCGCAAAGAAATGTTGGTTACATTAATAGTGATGTTCCTGGAATAAACGATGTGGTGCTAGTCACTGTTCTTTTTGTTATTTTGTATGTATTATTAAAAACAAGAGTCTCCCCAAAAGGCACTACCTGTACAATGAAAACTTTAACTCGCACTCTATTAATTCGATATATGGTTTAAGCTGTACAAGATCAATACCATGACCATATACCATTCAGCGACACGATTAATCATATAAAGGCTTGTGTTATCGATGACATAAAACATTCCGATAAACTCGGTTTCATGATATGATAAATATGCAAATAAGGCCACCCATTCGGGACCAACTCGTGTTATTCCGGGACAAGCCGAATAGCGACTCGTGTCCCTCTCATGGCCATTTTTGCGACCGGGTTCCGTCTTAGCGCAAACGGAAATACTTAAAACAATTGTCAACTCTTTGCGTAATGGTTCACACATATTTACCCATATATTATATATATTTCAGATGCAATTTAAAGCACATCTGGAAGTGCGTAATTATACAGTATGATTGGACACATGTAACTGTGTCTTTGGTATATTTGTAGAAGCAAGACATATGCAAAATCAAAAATTATTTTTGAGGGATTCTTTGACGAAGAACTTGAAATCATACGCGCATTCTGATTGGTTTGTCGTATTTTCGCACATAACATTCATCGATAGGGGGACGAGTCTTCTTGCAGGTTACGGAAAGGGTTGACGAATGTAAGGCCACCTAGCCGGAACTACTTTCAAGCTCCAAACATCAAATAAATAAAGCGACAAAATCCTTTCGATATCCAATATATAACTATGTATTAAGCCGAGTCTAATGCACGATTCCGACTATATCATGAGTACGTGTTTATTAGTCACTATAAAATAGTAATGATACCAGGTGCTCGCTAAAAGGTGAGCGTATCCTGCCCCACCGGTAGCTCCCATCACAAACACATGCAAAGACAAGTCAAAATATGGAATTACATCGGACAACATTTTTGTCACTGATGCGTCACATTTGGAAATGTCCTCCACCTGTCTACAATAAAACATTTTGAAAGCTCTACTGAGGTCTTGAGCGTTGTAACCTTGAGACCGATGCCTTCTTTATATTGACAAACGTTCCTAATATGATTACTCCGTGGTCAAGTGGTAGAGCGTCCGCCCGGAGAGCGGAAGGTCCGGAGTTCGATCCCCGACCGCGTCATACCAAAAGACGTTAAAAGATGGTACTTGTTCTATCCCTGTCTGGCGCTCGACATTAAGGGGCTAAAACAAGGACTGGTCGGCTCGGAGTCAGTATACGCACACACACACACACACGCACAGACAGACACACACACACACACACGCACGCACGCACGCACACACACACACACGCACGCACACACACACACACGTCGCTATATAAGTGCAATAATCTTGGACGCGACGTTAAACCCCATTTCACCTCACCTAATATGATTAAATGTCACATATAAGGAATGACAAATGTGCCTGCACAATACATTTTGTATTTCTAATATATGATATTAACCATACGGAAACACACTCAGCAAACAATCTGTATTTACCTTTCAATTTATCCGCAATCCAACAAGAAAAACACGTTTTGTCAAGCAATATTTATTTTTTACAACAAAAAAACAACATGTACAGATGGTCAACTTGCTGCTAACTGTAGCCAAGTATGGTTTGTATAAAGATACAGACGACATCATAAATATGTATCAGATCCTTGTCCCACAATTAGCAGTCTCAGCGATCTTCCTCCTAGCGAGCAGATTCACTGACGATATCATTGCGGTTGGATGTCACAAGAGTGAGTAGGAAAATATTATTTTACGCCGCAGTCAGATATACCGATATATTCCAGCTATATCACATCCAGATATCTGTGAATGAATATTAGCGGGTCAAACAGAACGATTTCCCTTACAAGAAGGTTCTTTGTTCTATACTGATGGAATACCGCTAAAGCCCACTCTATACTCTCACACATCACGAACGGAAAGGAACAGTCATATGATTATTTTTTTCAGTTATTTTTTAGATACACACACGGACAAATAATTGGAAGAATGTGTTTCAATGTGTATTTCTGGCATGCGTCTCTAATGACGCAAGGATTTGTAAATAGATCTGATCAGATTCGCTCTTCCTGGAAGATTTGATCTGCCAACACCATTACCACGCTACAGCCTTTTCCCCCGGATGTAGTGGGCAGGATGTATATAACTGATATCCAGTTGAAGTAATAACCACACACTCACTGTTTCCGATTCCGAAAGTAAGGAAATCTTTCAATGTTTAACAAGATACAATTGGCAATTCGCATGAACTAAAAAGTTCCGTGTTCCGTTGTGCATCGTTTATAGTAACTGTTTACAGTAACTTGAGCGTGAAAACTATATACCTCCCTCCATATAATTTAAATAAATAAATTACATTAAATAACGTGTAAATCACCTCAAAACTTTTAAATCACTACAAATAATTTATATTTACAGATGACATTAATATGTTGCTGCTATGTACAAAGGTGTGCCTTGTAAGTATATACGACTGAAGTGTTGTGTCGGTCATTGTTCCTCCACATAGACTCTTAGAATCCCATCTGGAGCGCCAGCACCACGTGCAGGGCACTGGTGCCAATAAACAGGACAACTGCAGACACGCCTGTGATTTCCTTGGCTCCTGCGAACCATACAAAAATGAAAATATTTTATATCATAAATATATTAATACTGTGTAACAAGAATAACCAATAATCTGAAGAAATTAGGGAACGAGGTGCAGTGTTGTGTCACTTAGCATGATCTCATGTTCCGGGTTCGAATCCCAGACACGACACTACCATGCAACTCCTAAAAAAACCAGTTCACAAGTAGAATACTAAAAGCATCTTCGTCTTACAGATAATGAAACTATATTCAAGGCAGTTCATCATTATATATGTACTACTTAATGATTCGTGTAAGAAACCGTTCGCACAACAATGCATTTCTTCCCTCCTATTTTGGTTAATACAATTCTATTGATTCCTCGGTGTAGCATCTGTTTTGGTCCCTTGCTATCAGATTCGACTTTTTTCACGTTTAACATCTTTTCAGGGAGACATCGATACTTAAAATTGCCCCTACTCCCTTGACCTTAAAGACGAAAGATTACAAAGGCATCAATTACTGAGACCAAAGACCCGTGAAGATCCGGGGTAGAATAGGTCTTCAGCAACCCATACTTGCCGTAAAAGGCGACTATGCTTGTCGTAAAAGGCGACTAACGGGATCGGATGGTCAGGCTCGCTGACTTGGTTGATGCATGTCATAGATCCCAATTGCGTGGATAGATGCTCATGATATTAATCACTGGATTGTCTGGTCCAGACTCGATTATTTACAGACCGCCGTCATATAGCTGGAATATTGCTGAGTGCGGCGTAAAACAACAAACCAACCAACCAACTGAGACCAAACATCAATGGTCCTTACTAAGTTGAATTGAATACACACCTGATGCCAGCATCAACAGCTGGTATTCTTGAAACTTTCTTTCCAACTGGGCCTCAGTCATACAATCCGGAGTATTTGATGAACCCTGAAAGATACTGCGGAAGAATTCCCCTATGACGGGTATTGCTGCAGCAAATATAGCTGCTCTCTTTTGCCTCCCGCCATCACGTACTTGCGTCTCCTCCATCATCAAGTTGGAATCTTGTCTACCCCCCTCTGTGTTCTCTGGCCATCTTGTAGACTTCATCGCGGACTGGATGTCAGAGCTGTGGTGCTCATACACATGCGCAGCATCAGCATCCGGAAAAGAGGCTGCTGAGTGGCTAAATGAGATTTCGGTCTTCACTTGATCTTGTGTCTCATTTCGTTGACTGACTGCTCTCATTGCCCGCACCGATTGTGTCGACAGGACAGTAAGGGCGAGAACTATTGCCACCATTGCCATTGTCTGTAACATTAAAACATGGAACATAAGCATATTTTATTTTAATTTTTAACGCCACAGTCAGCTAGATTCCAGCTACATCACACAGACCTATAAATAGTCTAGTTTTCAGCAGACAAAGATTGATATTGTGTGCCGTCAGGGTACAATGTCATACGATCAACCAGGGTTAGAAACTAACAGTTTTTGTCCACTAGTCCTTATAATGATAACATTTAGCAAAACATTTAAAATGGGCCAATTTCTACCAGTCCTTATGATACCTTTACTATTGGGCAGTTTCGTTAAGAGTACAGAACCATTTAATCGCATCTAACGTCAAGCATGCGTTACTAGGGTCCTATTCCAACTCGGGGCGGTGGACTAGTGGTTAAAGCGTTCGCTCGTCACGCCGAAGACCCGGGTTCGATTATGATATACTCAAAGAAAACGTTAAGTGATGATATATATTTATTGATAACTAAAGGTAATTATTATAATGATGATATAGATTATATATCTTTACAGACTGACGTATGACCTAAATGTGTTCATGATAAACCACTTCTTAAGCGTGTTTTGATCCGTATTAATGTGAAAAACATAGTCACACCTCCATTTTGTATTTCCTTTCAAATTACTGTACATTTAAACGAAAACCAGGAATTTAACCGAAACGAAGAACAAAAGATAATCTTTAGCAAGCGTATTGTATCCACCTTTGTGCCAGTTAAACACAGGAACATGTTATTCACACAATACGAAAAGTAGGATGTTTGTGATGAAGATTTGAATAAGAGCATTACCATAATTATACGTATTTCTCCAGTGCATTTGTTTGTTGTATTCTGAATATTACATCTTCGTGCCTGTGTATCATTAAGGTAGCTGCGTTTCTTTTTAGAATATTTATGGAGCCATAACGTAACTAGCTGGTTAAAGAGCTTTCTTGCTGGTCACGTCGATTCCCGGAAATATCCAATCCACGTAATCAGTGATTTACACTGTTTGTCACAGAAACAAGTTATGTCCTAGATGTATCAGTTACTCAATGGCAGACAGGAAAGGTGTGTCTTCGTGTACGGGTAGTCGTGGTGGCGGTAGTATCTGTTTCCTTGTTAACACAATCAACTTGCTCTCAGTGAGTAGTCGGGTCTTTTAGTCGTATGATGTTGTTGTTGGTTTGTTGTTTAACGACGCACTCAGCAATATTCCAGCTATTTGACGGCGGTCTGTAAATAATCGAGTCTGGCCAGACAAACCAAGTGATTAATATCATGAGTATCGATCCACGCAATTGGGATCGATGACCTGCATCAACCAAGTCAGTGAGCCTGACCACCCGATCCCGTTAGTCGCCTCTTACGACAAGCATAGTCACCTTTTACGGCAAGCATGGGTTGCTGAAGACCTATTCTACCCCGGAATCTTCACGGGTCTTTAGTCATATGAAGGCCACTGGGACATACACGGAGAAAGTACATATATACGTCAACAATGGTACATGAATTAATACGTAACCTACATCATAGTATTCCAATGTTTGCAAAACTTTGTCTCATTTTATAACTATGACATAGATATTTACATAAATTTCTTAACATTTCATTGTTTGAAGACAGACGCCTTTACACTTAGGTTTATACATTTTCGGATTATGACAATACAGTTTAGGCAGATAGAGGTGATTTATGTTCTTTATAGGAATTACATATTAAAGTAAAATTATATCTTCTATCCCTAGATTAAAAAGAGCACATAAACGTAAACTTAAATCAGTCCCCAACTATCTCCCTTCGTTAACTTTCAACCCGTTCTGTCGTATCACCATATTTCGTCGCTTTCTATTAGGGCTGGGACGAGTCCGAATTTACTACCCGGGTACCCACTCCCCTATTACCCGACCCTACCCGGGTACCCTCTGTAGGTCTCAAGAGATAGGTACAAAATGTCCGATTGGGCATTTTCTTACCATAGCACTGGCAAAACGCATTTAGATACATGAACATGTATTAAACAATCTGGTCATGCATACACTGAATTTGACTCAAATTATATCTTTATTAAAAGATATGAAAAGTCAGAATGAATGGGTGCATAGTCAGAAAGAAATACGGACATTCGTGACTTATAGTGAAAGCATAGAGTTCTAGATAAGATTTTGCCATTAAACAATATAATCACGTGAATAACCACTGGTCCGAGTAGTCCTGTGGGTACCCGGCCCTACTTAGTACCCACCCGACCCGGGTACCCGAATTACCCGTCCCAGCCCTACTTTCTATCTATTAAGATGGGTGAGATACTTTTCAGGTTCGATTAAGCTTTTAAACTCTTTATATATGTTATATCTTGAACTGTTTTCTATAATACTATTCCATGATTGATGACACCTATCAGTTGCAAACTTTTTCTACAGTCTAAGAAAAGTAAATATATCTCCAACACACTAAGCAATCCATACAAATACAAATCCATGTGAAAACAATAAAGTGCGTATAGGAGTTGCATGGGTTTGGTGTCCACAATTATCATAGTACATAAGCATATCACAGGCTTTCTTAGGAATCCTATCATTGTGCATTTCGGTACGTTAAAGCCAGTATTTTATACGACGACATGATGCATTTGCAGTAAACTACGGTTATAACGAACACGCTTATAACGAACTAACGGATATAACGAACTAACTTTTTAGTCCCGACTATTTGCTGTAGTTATGCTGTATATATGCTTATAACGAATTACGGTTATAACGAACTAAAATTAGTAGTCCCTTTGTTTTCGTTATAACCGTAGTTTACTGTATATATAAAGGATATCGGCCACATTCATCATATACAATAACACTTGATGCTTTGGGACCAACGCTGAGACATTTCTTGCAAGCAATCAAATTGACTGTTTCAATCTTTTTAAATATGATGCCAAGGTTTGATTGAGGTATATATGTTTAGCAACAACGAGGATTATTCAGATATGTATTATTTGTAAAAGAACGGGAGAGTTGCGTCCCTTTTGTGTGGCAGGATCCGAGGTTTCTCACCTCAGATTCGCCCTGATTATGATCCTTGGTTGGTCAGCACCATACCCGTGATACAATATCGCGAAGTGTATGTAATTTGCTAATTAATAAGGTGTTTTATAAACGACTGTCATTTGGCAACATAATGTATCGGTCAAAACAAATATAGATGTAGAGGACTTAAGAAAATAACGGACGTATTTGTTACGACTAGTCGACTAAAATGAGGATTGGGTGGATGCAGTGTGTGACCCGACAGATTGTATGTCACCATACACAGACGCCGTTGATCGTTGCTCTTGCTGTCAACCACTCGTGTGTCTGCATGGCCAGACTGGATTAGTATATAGATGACATGATACAGACGCGATATTGCTGACTGTGCCGTTAAACATCACTCACTCACTCACTCACTCACTCACCCACTCACTCACTCACCCACCCACCAACCCACTCACACACCCACTCACTCACTCACACACTCACTCACACACCCACACACTCACACACTCACTCACTCACTCACTCACACTCACTCACTCACACACTCACTCACACACTCACTCACTCACACACCCACTCACACACTCACACACTCACTCACTCACTCACACACTCACACACTCACACACTCACTCACTCACTCACTCACTCACACACTCACACACTCACACACTCACTCACAAGACACATGCCCGGAGTACTGCTATGTAATATCAGGCAACAAATACGTCATTTTTATCCTAACTGTGTCAGTGGCGGGTGCTGCCGGTAGAGCAGAACACCCTTTACGCGAACACCTGGTGTCATCACTGATTTTCAGTGATCCATTCATATAGTTTTCACCGCTATTTTGCCTTCTACCCCCAACAGAATCTGTTTCGTCGGATAAGCGAGACATATACTTACACCACGTACCTGAGTAAGTCTGTGTGGTTCTCGTTGTAACAGGATAATGATGTCTATGGAAGAGTGAACAACTTGCGCCACTTTTATACCAAGTATTGATGCTGGCTCATTTCCTTCTGGTCATGACAGAAACCGAAAATGCAGCAGAGGATCATGTCACGTATATTTGTATACATGAGTCAACTAGTTCCCGGAGAATTGTCCTCGACTCCATTAACTTTAACCCCCCCCCCCCCCCCCCCCCCCCCCCCCCACCACCACCCCACCCCCCCCCCCCCCCCCCCCCCACACACACACACACACACACACCCCACCACCCATCCCACCCAACCCCACCACCCCAACCCCACTCACGTTACTCATGGTGTCGTCGTGCATGTACACTCCCTATTTCGTCTTTAATCTGTTTCAAGTTAGAAAATAGCAAATGAGTTATCAGAGGCCGTTTCCATCCCGTCTACATATTTACGTATGCTATGAGGATATATCTTTCCTCATTTTATATCCATGTAGAATTTAATATGAAATTTCACATTGTTATAGAATTTAACACTAATGGTCATTTTATCTGGTTTGGTGACAAAATACACTGAAAACATAATCCGGCAGATCAAGTCAATCATAGATCGATTGAAAATGTTTTACAATGAAGAAACCCTAATAGGCATTACCCTCAGTGGCAAGTGAGTGAGTGATTATTGTTTAATGTCGCATCAGCTTCACAGCTTATGGCTGCACACAACAATATTCCAGCGATATAACGACGGTTTGTGAATAGTCGCGTTTGGGCCAGACAGTCCAGTGGTTGGCATCATGAGCATCCATCCACGCATGTGGGATGCGATGACACGCAACCAGCCAAGTTACTGCGGCTGACCACCCGATGTATTTAGTCGCCTCTTACGACACAGCACAGACTGCTGGGATCACTACTATGGATTACACGGGATCCCCATGGGTAGTTGATTAAGATCGCCGAAATATTTCCAAATGGTTGGTTAATCCAGACGGTCTGTAAATAATCGAGTCTGGAAAAGACAATCGATCTGATCAAATTAACAGATCGAAATTACGGTCTGTTTTACAACGAAAAGCTGGATTCCAAAAATGCTGGGCTGTATCAAATCAATTTGATTGTCTCAAGTTAAACGTTAATTTGATTATTCTTATTTCAGGTTTATTTGAATGTAATATTGGTGTACGTCAAGGGGGTGTGCTCAGCTCCTTTGTATTTTCTATATATATTAATGATCTATTAGGGGTGAACTATTATCCAGGTATACCGTTTTATACCAAGCTAACGCATTTTTTCTTTTGTTATTCGCTGATGATGCCATTCTACTTTCTTATGTTAAATCTTGTCTCCAAAAGCGACTGTGTATTTTTTTTTTTTCGAAAATATATCATATGACAATACTTTAAACAAATCTCATGTTTATTTTTGAAAAAAATGAGTTGTTCTTTCAAAATTTGAAACTGTTTCTTTGATGTTAAACTCACTGAATGTGTTTCGTCATTTTAACATTTAAAATGTTTATTATTCAAAGTTATGTTTGGACTGGTAAATCTTGCATCCACATTAATACATTTCGAATTGTTTGGGCACGGTTCAAGTATAGTACACATCGTTTAAATATCGAAACTGTCAGTAGAATAATATGCAATGTGCTCCCATGAATATATTGAAGATGTGTGAGGTGAGGTGAGGTGGAATGGGGTTTAACGTCGCGTCCATGATTATTTCACTTATATAGCGACGTGCATGAACGTGTGTGTGTGTGTGTGTGTGTGTGTGTTTATGTGTGTGTGGCTGCTTGTGCTAGCTGATTTATAGTGCTAGCTCATTGAGATACCATGCCGCAGTTTAACATGAATACCCCACTCAGACACAGAACACTGAGTCCTTGTTTTAGCCCCTGAATGCTGAGCGCCAGACAGGGTAACAACAAGTACCATGTATGACGCGGCCGGGGATCGAGCCCCGGACCTTCCGCTCTTCGCTCCCCGGGCGGACACTCTGTGAAGCCCGTTCCTGGTGTCCCCCGACGTGATATTGCTGGAATATTGCTAAAAGTGGCGTAAAACCAAACTCACTCTCTCACTATCCCTTCAAAATTTTAATATGTTGATGTCTGCACACACAAAACTGCTGTCATAAAGTAATTAGGCACGGACATATTTCGTGCCTTTCATCACAGATCTAAAATGCTGTATTAAATGAATGATTGTAATGTCGATAATGCTATTGTCTATGGATACCCTACACTCTAAACCCAAGTGTTCTACTTCTGAACACTAGACAGAACACATGGATGTAACACTTTTAGAACGCGTCCAAGTGTTCTGAAAATATTCTGAACGTTGATGTTCTCGACCTAGAACAGGAGTGTTCTACAAACATATTTAGAACGCTTCAACGTGTTCTGACGATGTAACACTTTTAGAACGCCTGTAAAGTGTTCTGGACCGAGATTCAGAACACTACATGTTCTCGGACACGTACTTCCACAGTACTGAAATGACAACTCATCGTGTGTTGTCGAATACAATTTACCCGATGTTTTTTCAAGGCGTAGGAATATGAACCATACACCCATACATATTCTCTGGCATAAAATCACACGGACGAAATTCTGAACTGCAACCATGAATTCTTTATTACATTTATTTGTCATGATCATGGATATTCAAGTCACTTAAATATGTTAGTCAGAGTTCTTCATGAAACATTACAAACTGTCATGTAGCAAAGTGAAGCATACTTCCATACTTAAGATAACTTAAGTGTCAAGTCTTTCACGAAGCGCAAGTACTTCGCAGATGTTTCTTGTGGGTAAATATCCCCAAGGACGTTGTTCGTAACAGCGACATGACCATCGCATGCTTCAGGAAACTTCATGTCAAATACGACTCCGCAACATCCTACAACACCAAACATTTATTTGGTCATAGTCATATAGTTATCAAACTCGTACATATTACATAAGACATTATTCTAACAAATGTTCGTTAGTAAACGCAAGATTACCGTGACATTTGTTTCATTATTTATAGGTTGCAAAGTGTTTTGCCCAAAATGTTATTTGACAAAGTTATCACTTACTTGGATAAAGACTAGACCAAAATATACACAAGTACCTTCTTATTTGATCTGAAAAACCTTGTTTCTTTTCCTCCTTTGCGTAGACGTGTGCTGTGTGCAATAATTTCCAAGGATGGTACTGATTATCTGCAATGCAACCTGTAATAGAAACAACAAGACTCTTTTAAAATATTTCACATAAAATAGCCCAAAACATGTCCTGTGAAGGTTTAATTCTTTTTGTTCATTACATACTTACCCTACTCTCTGCTGATTCGATGCATTGTCGATGCATGCTGATCATGCCCTCGGATCCCAAATTTAGATCTTCAGAGATTTGTTGCATGAGATTTGTTGCCCGCTTCGTACTTTCAGGCGATTCATATAGAACCTGAAATATATATTCATTTTATTTGAACATCATTCAAATAAACGGAAACTTTCAAAATGTCACAAGTGCAGTTTGGATTGGGATTTCATCTCACAATTTGCAAATAATGCTTGTGGAACAATGGCAGAAATGACGGTCAAAATGGCGGGGAATATGTCGTCTGCTATAAGTTTCGTAAGGGGCCGGTTTTACTTCGCATGCAATCAGCATATGAATATATCGCCGAAATATTACACAATTTTAGGTAAGGATTAAATATGAAACAAAATTATTCCTAGATGGATACTTACCACAGATACCCCTCAGATGATAGGAAATTGTAGCACCAAATACATGCTACGTCACGTCAGTTTCTCACATAACGGATGTGGTTCAGAGGACATGGGCAGCTTCGAATGCTAGTTAGATAAATAGAACCCCTATGTTCTATTAATGGAACACGTGTTCTCCCCTGTAACATTAGTGTGCTGCTTATCACTATAGAACATAGCAGAACACATGCGTTCTAGGAGAGAACGCATGTGTTCAGCAAATAGACCGTATATGTTCCATAGCCCCCATAAAATATCCAGGTAAAATTAGCCATCAGAATGCCAGTGTTCTGATACACGTAAATGTCCCATAATGTTATTTCCATGTATTAGCAATGAGTTGTATTTCAGTAATGTTTCTTGTTGTATTTAGTCAGGCTACATATGAGTTATTATGAACACAAGGTATGCCATGTTTATAAACTATTTATCATTCATCAAACTCAAAATATGACACATTTTCTGTTTGACTTACCAATCTACCAGCCTCTCTTCTTCTCAAAAATAAATATTCCGAAAACACAAATATATGGTCGAATTTAAATTTGTCTAACAATAGTCAGTACATTATCTCTGCTAATGTGCATGGACTTCTCCCAGGAGAGAACACACGCGTTCTACAAAAGATCACAGGCGTTCAGCAATAGAACACTTGCTCCCCGAATAAGAACATTCGTATTCTGTGGCAGAACGTATGGACGCGTCCAGAGTTCTATATTAGAACACATAGATTTAGAGTGTATACGTTAATGATTTGACATCTTTTTTACAGCGTGTGTGTGTGGCTGCTTGTACACTGAGATACCATGCCGCAGTTTAACATGAATACCCCAATCAGACACAGTATACTGACTCCGAGCTGACCAGCCCTTGTTTTAGCCCCCTAATGCCGAGCGCCAGACAGGGTAACAACAAGTACCATCATTTAACGTCTTTTGGTATGACGCGGCCCGGGATCGAACCCCGGACCTTCCGCTCTCCAGGCGGACGGTCTACCACTAGACCACGGAGGCGGTCGCTTTTCCTCTGAACAATGGGGCGATGGCTTACACTCATGAATAAAGCACGAATGAAATACACATGGACTTAACAAAACTGCGGGGCAAAAGAAAGCATACACCCACGTGTGATGGTGGCATAAATAAAACAAACAAGTAATGGTTACTCAGTGTATTTGATACGGGTATCACAGTTGAGTTTCAAACATTAAGCTTGCAGTGTTTCTGTGACTGTTTTCAACCGTTTTGATAACGTTTGTAATGTGTTGGTCAAATCCAGTTTTCAAGGGTATACTTTCTATTGCCGGGCAGTTTCTTATTAGTATTTACAAATCGTCAGATCGGTTTAAATTTAAACAAGCTAAATATATCTCTGTCTAATGTTAATGAGGCATGTTCTTGAAATGTAGTTCCGCCAGCCAGTCCCAACATATGACAGTCATCTATATATAACTGTCTTAAGCTGAAAGACTAAAACTGGTCAACGTTATTTCTGGTTATGGTATATTCATTCATCGATTCTGTCATCGGGAAGGAAGTACATGCGATAGTCACTCTTAGGCTAAATACCACCGAAATGACTGAAATATTTCCTGGAAGACGCGCGTTACATTTGCATATAAAGAAGGGGTCAGTTTATCGTCCGTCAGTCTGTCATGAAGGTAACTTACAGATAACTCTCACACACGAAGCTGCGCCGATCACAAAGGTAGGAGACTTCTGCGTTCTTTATTGGAGTGCAGTTTCTATTATCCTGTCTCGGTGTGCTAAAACTTTCATTCATTCATTCATTCATTCATTCATTCATTCATTCACTCCGTTTTATATTTCCCCATAAGGACAGTATTATAGAGTATGTTAAAGTGTCCATGATACACATTGTGCCTACACCTACACCTTGTGGGTTACACACAACAAAATGTTTTCCCATAGACTTCTGTAGTAACGTTATATTTTTTTTTAAATAACTAAGCATTCAACAGCTATTACCTGTATGTGTGTGCACAGTTTGGCCTTAGAGCAGCAATAAAAAAATAAAAAATGACCAGCTTAGCCAGCTCCTTTTCCGAGTACAGGAAGCTAAATACACCATCCCCAGTTTCGCACCAAATGTCACCTACTTGAAAGTAGCTGTGGTCACATTCAGCATAAGTCATCATGTTGAAATAGACAGTACTAAATATAGAAAAACATGGTCACTTTTAATAACTGGATGGATGTACATTTGAAAGACATAAAAATCTTACAGAATATCCTCCAATCACAGCCTGCAGATATCTCTCGATCTGCACTGAAAACCGCACTGTCCAAACTAGTTCTGATTTGGTGTAGTAGCCGTCAGAATGCTTGTAAATATGAAATATTAACTGCCGAGAATAACCAGTCTCGATTATCCTCCCGAACAGATTCCATTGGGTGTAATATGCAAAATAGCGGTGAGAACAACATGAATGGGTCACTGAAAACCTTTCATCCGACCAATCAGACCGTCGCTTAGGAGATTGCGAAAATGAAAGTCCGAATGTAATCATACGTATACGACCTCGAAAATGTTAATGCGCAACATTCCGAACGACAGTTACCGGCTTTACGAGTTTTGGGTAATAATAATCCTGTATGTGGGTGCTAAAGGTCTCATTGCCGATATTTTCATATTTTTTTATATTATCCAATTTCTTTGAATAATTTATGTTCATCAATGTTTACTAGTTCTACATCCAAGTCTACCTCTGTGTAAGATCTGTGTGTTAAAGCATGATCTCAGTTTAGAGACTCACAAAAGCCAAATATGAAACCTTCCAGGAATTACTAACGACTTTATTTTATATCAATGTAATTCTGTGGTCCTTACACATCTGTCTCCAAAGGCGCTTAAACCATTCATTCACTCTCCAAAGGCCCCGGGATCATTCGTTCACGAGGGACAGATTATCCGTAATTAAGTGCTTCGGGCAGCGTACTCTCTATATATTACTTATTGTCATGTTAGGATAGAAAATGTAGAATTACGCCCGAAATATCAACACTACCACGTCAGTGAAGTTAACATATTGTTATGATGATGTAATGTTATCCATTTGTGCGGTCATGAACAATGACCCCATTTCGTACTATCCTCAATAACGACTGCAATGTGACGTCATATCGCTTCAACTGACCAATAAGCATTGAGAACAGCTAAAATGTGCATCTGCTAAAACTGGATATCTGTTCCCTACTCACACACATGAGTCCCAAAGAGGGGCATTGGTTTGGTTTGTTGGTAAGGCCGCACTCAGTTATATGACGGTGGTCTGTAAATAATCGAGTCTGAACCAGACAATCCAGTGATTAATATCATGAGCATCGATCTCCACCTCAAACCTCCGTGGGTTGCCTTTGAGCGGCACATCCTGCTCGCGCTTGTACGTTTGTTTGTTTGTTGTTTAACGCCGCACTCAGCAATATTCCACCTATATGACGGCGGTCTGTAAATAATCGAGTGTGGACCAAGACAATCCAGTGATTGACATCATGAGCATCTATACACGCAATTGGGATACGATGACATGCATCAACCAAGTCAGCGAGCCTGACCACCCGATCCCGTTAGTCGCCTTTTACGACAAGCATAGTCACCTTTTACGGCAAGCATGGGTTGCTGAAGACCTATTAGAACCCGGATCTTCACGGGTCAGCAAAGGGGCAGGTCAGCCGAAACTGCTGAAGCAGTAGGCGCCTCTTAAACACCTAAAGCAGCAGCAACAACACTCTTCTCATAGGGGTAATGTTATCCATTCTGGGTTGGTGGGTCCATTCGGTTCCATGTTATCTGGCGATACGTGGGTGAGTGAGTTTGGTTTTACGCCGTTTTTAGCAATATTCCAGCAATATCAGGAATGGGCCTCACACATTGTACCCATATTGGGAATCAAACCCGGGTCTTCGGCGTGACGAGCGAACGCTTTAACCACTAGGCTACCCGACCACCCCTCTAACGATACGAAAATGAATAGATCTATGGTTTGACGATAAGGAACCATTTTTATTTTCAGGGGGTTGGTTAGGCCTTAAAATGCAATGAGACTTCTTTGACACGAGGTTTCACTGTCCAGGGGATATTTCTACGTGAATTGTGTAATCATCACAGCTGGTATTAACATTTTTTAACAATATCTTTATATTGTATTTCATATTGTCGCCAAACGTTTATGTTGCATTGCTCTGTCATATGCGATGTTGTGATGTAAATACATGGGGAAACATAAGCAGCGCAATATTTAATCGTATCCTGTATTACTTTTCTGACGAAACGCTACTATTTTGGCCTAAAGAGTGACAAACTCATACTGTAATACAGACACCAAAATTTAGTATCTAATAAAATGTTTTTTACTCTTCTATGGCAATAATTATTGGATTATACTTTCAGTTGTTTTCTCTACTTCTTAGCAACGTTAGGGGCAGGAGATGCCCAGTCGTCTGAGGCACCGCAATTCGCTGTGCAGAGTTGCGTCCCCTGGGTATACCAGAAACCTATAATTGCAGGTGCGAATCCTGGTCAGCCCCGAATATGTTTTGAGAGCACCATACCCGTGCTCGTGGGTTTCCCCAAAGTTGTAGACTAACGAGACTCACCACTTCGGGTCTTCCTCCCACATTAAGCTGACACGCCGTGCTAAAACTGGAATACTTTGTTACAGCGGCGTTAAACCCAACTCACTCACTCACTCACTCACTCACTCACTCACTCTAAGCAACATAACTAGTGTAGGTCTCAGTACTGGACCGTCTGGAGACATGCACTGTTCTCATATCAACTTTTATCTCATTCTGTATTTTACTTTACAAATGATTACAAGAAACTTTGACGCGCTGACCATCGTGTCAACCCTGTGTCATCATTAACTCTTATTTTATTATTGTTGTTTCAATGCATTTGTTGCTTCAATTTCTATTTGGAATTATTACTTTTTCACATACGAGGACATTACATTATACATGCATATTATTATTATTATTATTATTATGTACAGATTAAAATAAAAAATGCAGCAAAGAAGGTTTGGGTGATCCTGGCACTGTCAGGCTGGTTAGGCTCATCATCAGCTCAGGGCCCTTGCCCCCTCTACACACAGCCCAGACAGCGAATGGGAGTTCTCTGCATTACCCAGATTGTCAGAAGGGCTGTATTCCTGGTAGCAACCCCGGGTACTCTCCCAATGTCAGTCAGCAGATTGGGAGGTACCAAACCTAAGGCACCGAGAACAAATGGAGAATGGAACAAATTGGTACTTGGGATGCAAGCGTGACATTTCGAAAGCGAAGTCTGCATATTTGCCATGTTTTTCAATCACATTTGCGTCAAAAGGGACAGAAAACTCAATAACATAAATGATTTCATTGGATTTATCATTATTATTATTCCAGCAACCATGGTGACCCTTTACTGCACATTGCTCCTCCTGACTCTGACGTCAACACAGGCCACAGGGACATATATGACGTCAAAGTCTGATGATGTCATCATCCCATCCACCAATGACGTCACAGAAACACAAACCGGCCCTGATGAGGACAGCAGAATACCCTTCCACCGAGACATCCGATCTCCTAAAAGATTTCTACCCAGCGCAAGAAAAGTAATTAAAACACTTAAAGTTCCTTTGGTGAAAAACACTTCCATATACAAGAAAGCAACATCCCAAAGTAATTTCTTTCTGACAAGATTTCGAAATAGCGCCAAGAAAGTAAAATTTCAAAACAGATTGTCACACCTCTTCAGGGCCGCTAAAGCTGGGTCGAACACAGCACGACTGTCTCTGAGATCCTTGGTGCCAACCCTTCTGGGTTTCGGCACAGCAGGCGCTGGCCTTGCGACGGCCATTTCCCAGTTACTGACAGTTACGAGAGACCAACCCGCCCAGAAACTCCCCAGCGTGTCTCCTCTTCAGCCTCATGAGATAGAGTCCTTGTTGCAAGGACTCGGGGCACCTACTTCCGGCTCTGGCGCAACTGTCAGAAAGAATGCTGTATTCGTGACTATTCTGAGTGCATTCCTGTGCACAGTTGTTTATCATGACTGAAATGGATTACAAATACCGTATCCGACGTAATAAGCGCCCACGGCGATATTTGCTAATATATTGGCTAGTGAACAATCCCAATTAGCACCCCTTCCGATTGATTAATGTACACAACACTTATTTATTCGCGTATAATATGCACTCGCGCATTAAATTCTGGAAAAATATATCTGTCGTACATAAACATTTCAGGCTGTCAGCATAAACCACGAAATTTATCTTTCAACTCAACTTTTTTATCACCAAAATAATATTCTAATTTTGAGAGCGTATTGGGCGCTTATTACGTCGAATACGGTATGCTTTTGGATCCCTGTACTTTTGTGTATATATGTCTTTGCGGCGTCAGCGCGAGTGCTGGAATTGTAAGATCCTAGTTGTTACGGCGACTGTTTCGGCCTACTAATGTTTTGATAACGTTTGTAATATTTTGGTCAAATACAATTTTGAAGCGTATATTTTCTTAGGCCCGACAGTTTATAGCAGTGAAAATAGAGTGAGTGAGTGAGTATTGTTTTACGCCGCTTTAAGCACTATACCAGCAATATCACAGCGGGGGCGCTAGAAATGGCCTTCACATATTGTAACCAGTGACAACAGAGACGTACTGAACACAGGTGGGGAATCAGGGTCAGAATACGTCTCCAATACCTCAGGCGAGTCGTCAATGGGATCAGGGGCCCACTTGAACAAAGCGATCTTAGCGCTAAGATGATCATAACTCCAATACTTTAACATAGGCTTACAATAGCGCTAAGACCGCTTTGTGCAAGTGGGCCCTGGTGATAGGATCGGGCATGGCGTGCCTGAAACATCTGATCACGTGTACACCCCGATTGCGATTCATGGTGTCAGCACGATGTCCATGTTCCTGGGTTTATTTAGAGTGGTAAACATCTAAGACTTTCATCATTTTGGGGGTTTCTTCCAACACCCCGTGAAACAACTGGAACACTGATATTATTGACGTTAACTGATTCACTCATTCTTACGAGCGCATATCTTGTTCATGATTTATGTTAATAATTTTGTTTTATTTGCTTCTGTTTAGTACGGGGGCACGGGTGGCCCAGCCGTCTAAGGCGCCGCGATTCGCTGTGCAGAGTTGCGTCCCTTGGGCACGCCAGAAACCTATGATTGTGGGTTCGAATTCCGGTTCGCCCCGATTATGTTTCTAGGTTTGTCAGCACCATACCCTTGATCGTTGGTTTCACCGAAGTGGTAAACGTGTGAGACCTGCATCACTTCGGGCTTTCCTCCCACATTAAGCTGACACGCCGCGATATAACTGGAATACTTTTAGAAGCGGCGTTAAACCCAACTCACTCACACTCTGTTTAGTACCTTTTAATCTTTAGCATTTTTAGTCGTATATCAGAAATATCTGAAACGAGAGTAGATCATACATATTTTATTATACATATTTACTTTAGTTAAAAGCAGTTTTTGATAATATACTAGTATTGTCAACGACGTATGGCATTGTGTACAATATATTTTTGTAACTTTATAGCTTGCCAAGTAGTGTGTTGCGCCTGTAAACCATGTATCACAGTGTGACAATATTACTATTTTGTTTCAAAAGTTTATGTTCAATTGTATGGTATTCTGTTATTTGAATTCTTTTCAATTTTGTTTCTATCATATGGTTGTGCGTCCTTGTCAATCAGCCCTCTGTTACGCATCCTTAGAATACAACAGCTGAAGTCAATAGAGACCCTTCTTTTTGTCATGTGCTTTCACCTCATCCAATACCTTCTTAATACGCACTTAATGCCGACTTTGTCCCTCAAACCATTATTCTTGACAGGAGATCACCTGTCTTGAACAGTGTCCCAGGTCACCGCGCAGATCCAATCAAAATCAACACTCCACGTCTGAGCATGCAGTAAGGATCCCCGACTGAGTGCATCTTCGCGAAACAAGGGAGTTAACTGAGCAGTTAACTCCCTTGCCTCGGTGGAAACTAGACTTTTATAGCCAGTTAACTCCCTTGCCTGGAGAAGATGGTCTGTATGTCACTTGTCCCCAGGAGGAGAATCCGATATCTGTTAATTTATGTGTCCAAAGCCCTACACTTATGTTTTCAGCGTATGATACAAATCATTTTGTGTATAATGTATTTATATGATTTATTTTATGTGATTCGTTTATTAGTTACTCTGTTATTTTTCTCTAATTTAATTTATATATTTATACCATATATGCTATTTGATATACTTGAATAAACAAAATCTATCGTATGTGTATTGTAATATTTTGTTTTCTGAAGGCGTGTACTGTCTCTCGGCCAATGTAGATGGTGGGGTCGGGTGAAATGGGCTATAATGGGTTAAACGTCGCGTTCAAGGTTGTGAGATTTCATAGTGCTAGCCCATTGAGATACCATGAGTTTAACATGAATACTCCACTCAGACACCGTATACTGACTCCGAACCGACCAGTCCTTGATTTATCCCATTAATGCCGATCGCCAGGCAGGGTAACAGCAAGTACCATCTTAAAAAACTTTAGCGTCTTTTGGTATAATACCCAGGGGGATCGAACCACCGACCAGGCGCTCTGTCCACTGGACCACGGAGGCAGTATTGTGTAAATGCGATATAAAGTATCCAGGGTCACATTGTCAGTGTACATAAAGGATCGAGGGTAACTTTGTCAGTGTACATAAAGGATCGAGGGTCACTTTGTCAGTGTACATAAAGGATATAGCGGCACATTAACAGTGTGTGTAGATGATGGCGTGTCGCTTTGTAAGTGTATGACGAATCGAGGGTCACTTTGCTGAAATTACCTCTCTTGAAAACATCTTGGTTGAAATCACCTCTGTTGAAATCATCTCGGTTGAAATCTCTCCTGAGGAAATATTTTGTTTCAGTGTCTTCTTTGAAGTCTGCGTTGTTGAAATCACCTCTGTTGAAGACGTCTATGTTGAAGTCTTCGTTGTTGGAGTCAGCGGTCGTTTTTGCTTACCTCTGTTGATGACGTGAACGTTTAATTCTCCTCTGTCGAAGTCTTCATTGTAATAAAGTCACTTCTGTTAATGACGTGAACGTTTAATTCTCCTCTGTCGAAGTCTTCATTGTAAAAGTCACTTCTGTTAATGACGTGAACGTTTAATTCTCCTCTGTTGAAGTCTTCATTGTTATAAAGTCATTTCTGTTGATGACGTGAACGTGTAATTCTCCTCTGTTGAAGTCTTCATTGTTATAAAGTCACTTCTTTTAATGACGTTAACGTTTAATTCTCCTCTGTTGAAATATTCACTGTTGAATTCGAAATCCCCTTTGTTGAAGTCTTCATTGTTGAAGTCACACCTGTTAATGACGTCAACGTTGTAGTCACCCCTGTTGAGTTCATTGTTGAAGTCTCCCTTGTTAATGACGTCAACGTTGAAGTCACCCCTGTTAATGACGTCAACGTTGAAGTCTCCCCTGTTAATGACGTCAACGTTGAAGTCATCCCTGTTGATGACGTCAAAGTTGAAGTCTCCCCTGTTAATGACGTCAACGTTGAAGTCATCCCTGTTGATGTCGTCAAAGTTGAAGTCTCCCCTGTTGAGTTCTTCATTGTTGAAGTCACCTCTGTGGATTACGTCAAATCTCTGTACTGCTTTATTTCTATTTATAGCAGCGAAGATTATGTCAGCACGTCACGGCCTATTTTGTACGTCATTTTCCAGATGTGACAAGTCATACACTGTGCCATAACTATGTACATGTATATCTTCGATTTATAATATACTGCTCAGAAGAGGATAACCCATTTCTTTCACATTGCCATAGTTAATCTGTAATATGGGTAATATGGAAGAATCGGTTTGTCCTAAACTTCTTTTGAGTAGTATCGACTGACAGTCCGATCCCGTTCGTCGCCTCTTACGACACACGTGGGTTTATGCAGATCCATTCCAACCCGGATCTTCACGGGAGTGTGTTTGTTTCTAGAGGCTACGGATGTATTCGTTGCTGTCGCCTAATGGAAAAAAATCAACTTCGGTTATAAAGAACATGACAAAACGTATAATCGGGTTAGGGGGCACTGATGGCCCAGTCATCTGAGGCCCGGAATTCGCTCTCGTCAAGTCACACAAGTTCGATCGACATGTAACTTCGATCGGCCATTTTGAATATTTCTCGCGATATGTAACGAGAAATTACGATACCTGCAGCTCAGATCTTCGCTTTCGTTCGCTTGGACCGGAAAATGCTTCTTGTCAAGTTACCAAACGTAAGTAATAGCTCATATTCAGCAAACAACTACTTTTTAACCCGAGATCACTAATGTAACTTGATCAGCTCAAATAAAATGTCAATTGTAATAAATGCACACGTTGTAAATCGACGGCACACCTGTCGTCTGCTTGTTTACTTTCATGGTGTAAATGTCACGTGATCAGACACTTTTCGTCAAGCTCCTTCCCAGCGCGTGACACCTTCGTTACACTCTCGGTAACATAGTATAGAGAGCTCCGCGAACGGGCTATCGCTGGGAGGAGCTTGACTTTTCGTAAGTGATCGAATTTCCATGACACGAGGATATATACACATCCGTGTGTACACTACACATATTTGTGAAAGCAACCATCGGTACCAGTACACTTTGAAATCAACATTAATTGTGAATCAAAGTTTAGAAATACACACTGCGATTGGTAAGAGTGAAAATGTTGCCTCAGATTGAATAAGATCGCTTCAACTAAAACACGTGCTCTTTGTTTGTAAACAGTGAATGCCTATTTATAGAGACTAGCGTCATCCCATCGTTCCTATCGTGACGTCACGTCCGTAAACAAGCTTCGCGTACCCCAGCAAGCTTTGTCCAGGGTTCTAGATATTTCCACAATATTCGTGGCGATTACGCGAATATTAGTCACTCCTTGGATTCATACAGACGCCCCAACACTCAGACAGACGTATTCCTCTGTGGTAGGTGGTGCTAACTCTTAGATGCCCTTTTATTGCAGAAAATTCCACCTTGGTTTCTAGGTCACGGAGGCAAAATAATGCAGACGAATTTTGTTATCAGCTGATTGTGGGCCAGGCCCTCGTGAATTTCGTGCAGTGTTTTGACTCGAAAAACAGACTTAGTTTTAAAGTTGTGACAACGTATATATGTGTTTTCCCATGACATAGATGAGGGTAAGCCAACAATTCAACTGATGGGTTAGGCATCGGGGGTGAGGGAGGGTGGGGGGGTGCCCTGCTTCGTGGGATATTTATAGATCGCCTGTACGTTTTCCTCTTATGTGTAGAGTACAAGGGGAGAAGAGTGTATCTCAAAACATTCTTGTTTCTTTATTTCGTAAACATGATAACAGTAGCAGCTAGATGACTCCTTATATCCTATGTATAGGCTTTCATCAATGTATATTTATCGTGTTATGGTGTTGATTGGTTGTTGATCAATTCATCAGTTGACCTTCAGCATGTTAAGTTCACCAATCTATACTCTACTATCATCAACAACAGCTGGGGAACATGTGTCGATAGGTTATGAGATAGGCCCTATTCAAATACAGCAATTATAGTTAATATTTATGATGCAATGTACACCGTATTTAGTATAGATACTGATAAAATTACTTTTGTTGATAAAGATAAATTAACATCTCTGGACTAATCTTCGCCTGATAATTGGTACGAATTCTTCTTGTATCTCTTTTGTGTGGAAAATAATAGTGAAGACATGTATTTAACATGTTTGCAGTGTCAGACATGGCCACTGCAAAACATTATTTAACCATGTTAACATAAACTACACTAGTTTGAAATGAACTGACGACGTGTTAAGTTAGACCCATTTAAGTTTAACTTTGCTTTGGATGATCAAAAGTCTGAACTTATATTTAGCATTGTCTTGTTTTGTATGGATTTAAATTAATCTATAAATAAAAGCGAAAATTTATTGTATGAGAATTATGAAATAGACCACTGTAGTCATTAAACTCCAAGTAAATCAAACACGTTTTTACATGACAACATTAAAGGTTAATCAGATAGTATTTGAAATTAAGTATGAAAGTCAAGGGATCCTTGACATTTCTCTAATGTTAATACTGTAGTTAAAGCTTTAAGCTCTAGATTCAAATTCTCTAGGGGCAAATATCAACGACCCCACCACCCCCCTTATGTTTTTAAACAGCCAGCGTTCTATCTATTATGATGATTATCTAAAGTATGAAAAATATATTTCATATATTCTATATTCAGTCATCATGATATGAGGTTACTGTTTTTCTCCTTGAGACAAGGAAATCTGTCACCATATGATGTAGGAACTATCTATAGCATTATTTACATAATGGCCATTATCTGATTGTCTGCTGGCCAGGTTGGTGCTCGGTCATGTTCCAACAATTCTATCTAATTACTTTGATGGTGTTCTGGCTATGACAAACAGTAAAGGGTGCAGAGAGGCGGATAAAAAAAGAAATTACAGAGCCCAAACAATTAATTGAAGATTTAACAAACATCACTGTTTGACGTGTCCTGTTTTTTGGCAAATACCCAAAAAGGTCATCAAACATGGCATGCATAGTGTTTGTGTGGAATTGTCAATTGCGTGCTTATCTATAAACGCTATAGAGTGACTGTGTGGCAAGAAGGATTGCTGATCCTAGATGTAAGTTGTAATAAGTTTAAATTTATAGTTGAGAACTGGATTTTGATTTTTACTGAGATTTTGATTTTTGAAATCAAAAGAAGAGTATAGTGAGTGAGTTAATATTTATCATGTTAAGTTTTATCAATATTTTAACCAAAAACGATGAGAATAAATTTTTAGAAATTCATATTAATCTTTTATCAATATTCAGAACCACAGATAAGCTGCGTAAAATATCCCAACAAAATATTCCAAACCAAATTACTTTCAATTAACTTGCGTACAGAAACGTATGCATTAAATAAAAAATTCAAATGTATAAAATCAGCATGCGTAAATACCTAATGAAGCTTTTTCAGCATGCGTACAATGAAGCTAATTTCCGAAACACAATTACGAGCTAATTTACTTTCCAATCAAGCCTATAGTTAGAACCCTTACATACATCTAAAACATTAATATTTTGAAATCTCAAAATGTTAACTCATTTTGGGAAAAACCCAAAAAAGTTGATGAATAGATGAGTGAAAAATATTGGTTACCCAATGAAAAATATAATAACACAATTAAAATAAAAACCTTTGAGTAAAAACTCGATTGCTCAAAGAGTTATCTGGAGCTGTGAATATTTGAACTGAAAAGTGAGTGAGTAGGTATGGTTTTACGCTGCTTTTAGCAATATTCCAGCAATATCACGGCCGGGGACACCAGAAATGGGCTTCACACATTGTACCCATGTCGGGAATTGAACCCGGGTGTTCGGCATGACGAGTGAACACTTTAACCACTAGGCTACCCGACCGCCCTTAAAGTCAATGAAAGACCATGTTCACATAAAGATTACAAATTAAATCTGTACTTTCACCATGCAAAAAAAGTGTTACCGGGGTAATCTAGAAATAAGTATTTTTCATACTAATACAGACCAGTTTGTTTTCTCATTTATGGAAAGTAAAATGAATGCCAGTTTTCAAACAGGCCAAAACCATCTTCAACACTGGCACCACCGTTTTTTCAGACACCTTACATGTTAACTTTGCCCTCGGTCAAGACACTTTGTGACTTGGGTATTATGTTCAACACCCCTTTTTCAAAGTCCTGGTTCCGCCTCTGCTCAATATATGGTCTATCCTGATCAAATTCATAGGTTTTCTCTCCTTCATCAACTTCATATTGACCATGAAAATCATAGTTCGTGGCATAAATCTGCACAGTATTTAATAGGGCTGCAACGATAACACTATTAGGCGAATATGATTCGTATCATGAATATAGGGTAATGAATACAAATATTTATTCATGAATACAATAACAAGTCAGCAGTTGATGTATTATTAATGATATTCAGTGAAACAATAACAAAATAAAATTATTTGACATGGTTTGTTAATTATTACTTTATAATACCTTTATATACTGCACTTATCCAGGTACTAGAATCTGCACAAATGCAACAATGACCAGTGACTAAAATACTGTCAAATTAAATATGAAAGAGTGTTGTCTTTGAAGAAATCTATGCATATGATATGTTCTTATGGATATTTTAAGGGTCAGGATATGTAAATGCACGTGACTGCATATTCATAAATATTCAATTCTTGTGACCACGAATAACGAATTCAATTCATGAATGGATATGGTTTTGATTCACCCAATATGTGAGTGTATCGTAACAGCACTAGTATTTAATGTAATTTTCAGTGAAACATGGGGTTTCAGTAGATACTGAAATACAACAGAGGAAAAGGATATCACTGTCACTAATGACAAACTGAAAGTATTATTTATTTATTGATTTTAGTTTGAATTCCAGATTCCTAAAATCATCTGCCATGGCAGAAAAAGGAGAAAACAGCCCTGAAACTTTGAACAACTTGATTGACGCCGAGGTGAATTCTGAAGGAGACGAAAATGGCCTGAACAGTTCAAACAGCGAGACAGAGAACAAGAAACGTCGAACGCGCACCCCGAGTCCTCCCCAAGCGGCTGGTGTCCCAGGGTTCATGGTGGCAGGTGAGGTGTCATTTCCTTTACCGTGGTTACAGAGCAGCCAACAACACACAAAAAACAGGACCAAAAATTTCAATGGAGATATTTCAATTAGAGAGAACTAAGATCTGAATTTAATGAGATTGGGTATCAGTGGGATAGCACAAGTCCATCAAACTACAAGGAGCCACACACACTAACATGTATGCGCTGTATAAGTGCAATAATCTTGAACATGACAACGTTAAACCCCCTTTTCACCACACATGATTATTATCTCCCATCCATCCGTCTGTGCAAGATGTCATTTCCGGAGCAGATCTTGAAAACCATACAATAATTCTTTACCAAACTTGGCACATAGATCTTGTAGATAGGTCTTATGGTGAAGTGGTGCCTTTTGATAATTTGGGATTTTTTAAAATACTATTTTTCGAGTTTCCATGGCAAGAACTTTGAGTGTGTGTGTGTGTGAGTGCGTGCGTGTGTGTGTCTGTGTGTGTGGTTGTGCTTTTTGTGTGTGTGTGTGTCTGTCTGTCTGTCTGTCTGTCTGTCAGCGTTAGAAATTGGCACTAGTCCTATAGTTCTTGACAATCTGTCAAATAGTTAAGCTATCATAACGACTAGTAGAAATTTGCCAGTTTTAAGGGTTTTGCTATATGTTATCATTATAAGGACTAGTGGACTATAACTGTTAGTTTCTACCACTGTCTGTCTGTCTGTGTAACTAGTTAACGTATACACAACAAGTATTAACCATTGCAGGGGATATCAACGACTTTGTCCTCTTGTTAGATTGTCATCCCCCCTATCTCACTATCAACCCCTTCTTCTCACACACACAGGCACCTCACATCATTTACTGCCTATGTTCCATTTCCTTTTATTGACAAAATACACCACACACATAGTCCTGTCCACAAATGTGTGCACGGATACTTTGCATACCACTGTGTACCCTGAACAGTTTGTCCCACCTCACAATAATATATGAAAAGAGACCACCTCCGTGGTCTAATGGTAGAGCGTCCGCCTGGAGAGCGGAAGGTCTGGGGTTCGATCCCCAGCCGCGTCATACCAAAAGACGTTAAAAGATGGTACTTGTTGTTACCCTGTCAAGCACTCGGCACTAAGGTCTAAAACAAGGACTGGTCGGCTCGGAGTCAGTATACTGTGTCTGAGTGGGGTATTCATGTTAAACTGCGGCATGGTATCTCAATGTGCTAGCACTATAAATCGGCATTAGTCCGGACTAGTACACACACATTCACGTCGCTATATAAGTGCAATAATCTTGGACGCGACGTTAAACTCCATTTCACCTCACCTATATGAAAAGAAACCCTGTGAACGAAATGACTAACTTTTTGTTGCCTTGCTGTAAAGATCTTATACTCCTTTTTTACCAGACTTTGCATGTTCCTATCCCTAGTTATGCCAACCAGCCCACACACTTGTGTCAGATGTAACTTAATTATTAAGGTACATGAATCTATGTTATTTAGTTTAACCTAGCCAAAGGTAACTTGTTTGCTGTTATTTTTATGTCTGTAAGACTAATGAGGAAATGTGGATGTTTCATTTCATAGCTTCTCCCCCGAAGTTCGTGAGTTTTGAGCAGTTGATGGAGGCAGCGAATGGTGTGAGGAACATGACACTCGCGCATGAGATTGTGGTCGATGGTGACTTCAAACTGGAAACCCGCAAACCACAGAAAAACAGGTATGATCATATGCAACTTTTCAGATCTTTCAGGGGCGGTCAGGTAGGCTAGTGGTTAAAGCGTTCGCTCGTCATGCTGAAGACCCAGGTTTCGATTCCCAACATGGGTACAATGTGTGAAGCCCATTTCTGGTGTTCCACCCTGTGATATTGCTGGAATATTGCTAAAAGCGGTGTAACACCATACTCACTCACTGACTCAGATCTTCCAGATTAGATACCGAATATAAGTGACCTTCTTGTCCGAGCAGGATGAGTCTGCTGGCCCTAGATTTCTGTTACAGTAATGGCTCACATTGATATGAACATGATAAAGCTCTGTCTGAATTTCTCCCCCAAATGCCTTTTCAAGTGTAATTTAAACAAAAGTTTTTTTAATTTTTATTCAACATGCTGATTAAACATGCTAAAGGGAATTTCACATTGTGTATATGTTATTATATAAAACTGCAAGTGATTCCAAGGTCACTTGATTGGCTAATGGGTCGAGCTTTTATGTTTCCAAATACCGAAAAAGGCCATCCAGACAATGTGAACAAGTTACAATCTGCTTTGATGTCACCAAGAAGAACCAATGCATATGTTCCTTATAAAATATGCTTTGTTACAGAATGTGTGTTTCTTTTACCAAAAGATTGATCTTTTGTCTTCCGAATCTTTTGCAGTGTTCAGTCTCAAGTACAGGAAGTAGTACACAAAGCATTCTGGGACTTGCTGCATGAAGAGATCAGCCAGGAACCCCCAGAATTCAAAAGGTCGCTGGTGCTTATTGAAGAGGTTAAGGAGGTAAGTGAAGTTATTTTGTCTGTGGTCTTAGGTGATTTATAGTTCGATAAAATTCAGATGTTTGTCATACCTCCATGTCAGCAACCCATGCTTGCCGTAAGAGGCGACTGACGGGATCGGGTGGTCAGACTGGACTTGGTTGATGCATGTCATCGATCCCAATTGCATGGGTCGATGCTCATGATATCAATCACTGGATTGTCTGGTCCAGACTCGATTATTTACAGACCCCCATCATATTGCTGTAATATTGCCGAGTGCGGCGTTAAACAACAAACCAACCAACCAACCATGTCTGATGTCATGATGAGATCTGATTGGTCCATGTGATCTTGACAAAATACTATGTATCCCACCTTGGAGGGAAATAAATTTCTCTAAACTGTTTTAGTCCGCTAGTCCTCAGAATGATAACTTATAGCAAAACCCTTAATAAAGGCAAATTTCTACTAGTCCTTAAGATACCTTAACTTCAGGACCAGTGCAAATTTCTAACGCTGCTTATACCCCGCCAAGAGCTAGACAGGCTGTACATGATTTCTGAGAGACAGAATAAATCCCTTATACCGCACTTCAAAGCAAAATTCTGCATGCTTTTTTTTTTAGTCAATGAAAGTCAGTGACATAGCACAAGTTAACCACAACTCAATCAAACAGCTATTTTCTATCAATTTTGAATTTGTGTTAATTTTTTACAATGTCACATGAAACATGTCGGTAAGATAAGTTTGTTGCAGCAGGATCACATATGGTACATGCGGTTTTATGCATCCCTCGTTAGGTTTTATACCACTCGCTTCCGGCTCTCTGGACATAAAACCACATGTCCCGGAGTGATCCTGCTACAACCTATAATCTACAAGACTAGCTCTACAACATGGGATCTGCCTCGTCTTGACAGGTTATCTTTTCACTGTATGTAATCTGGCTTATGTTAATAGGTGATGTTTTCATTTATCATGGCTTGTTTTAGCAGGTTTTCAACTGATTATCTTTTCACTGCATGTACAAATGATGTATTTGGCTTGTGTTAACAGGTTTAACAGATTATCTTTTCATTTATGTATTCGTTACTAGGGTCAAGAGATTTCACAGATTATCTTTTCACTTTATGTACTCGTGACTAGGGTCAAGAGATTTCACAGATTATCTTTTCACTTTATGTACGCTGGCTTGTGTTAACTGCTTGTGTTTTACTGTATGGTGTTTGGCTTGTGTTAACATGTTCTTTTTAAACTGGTTATCTTTTCACGAATTCTGGCTTGTGTTTCCAGGTGCTGTTGTCACTCTTGCTACCCCAGCATGTTCGATTACGAGCCCAGGTGAATGAAGTCCTTGACCTTGAGCTTATTGAACAGAAGATGGAGAACGAAGCGTTTGACATCCACTACTATGCTGACTATGTAGTAGGCATCATGGGCCGACTGTGTGCCCCCCTGAGGGATGACCAGATTGCCAAGCTCAAGGGACAGAAGGAAGTTGTGCCTCTCTTCAAGTAAGACCTATATCATGATGTTTTGATTTAAACATATTGGTTTTACTTAAAGGGAAACGGATTGGGAACAAGTTATAACTATATAAAATGCTGTTACAAGTTATGTCCCTTCTATGCTCCTCCTATTGACCAATCAGATTCTGCCTCTTGTATCACTTACAATTGCTTTAAACAAAATGGCGGCGCCCAGCCAAGACGATCTGATCTATGATCATGAAATTGTTGATTTTACTGATAACTGATAACTGATAACAGTGTGTTCATTATCAACATTAGAATAAAAGCAATGTCATCTAGAATAAGTGGTAAATCAGTTCCCAACATAACAATACATATTTGTTTATAATTTTTTTTACTTCGCCGTGGAACGATACAGTATTGTATCCCAATACAAGCCCCACGAAATGATACATTGATTGACATCCCGTGTATCGCAATAGATACGATACATTTCATGACAAGTCATATTGGTGAATAGTAACAGAAACTGATCAGCAACCAGCTTACGCAGATTCTCTGGTATTTCCAGGTTGGCTATAAATAGCATAACATTCCCAGTGCCCTCTAGCCTACCGGTATATATTTTTGCCCTACAATATCCCATCTTCGATTTCTGAAATTTGAAAACAAATAATTCAGGGTTGTGATTCACATGCAAAAAGAAAGAATATCAACTTATGAAATTGAAGTACTAAATCAGAATACGAATCATATCACACCAATAGTATCGTATCACAGCCCCACTGTATCCATGGTATTGTTACACCTCTACTGTAGTCAATGTAGTTGTAGCAGACACCACTGTATCCATGGTATAGTTACTACTCTACTGTAGTCGATGTAGTTGTAGCAGACAGAAATACCCTCCAGTTTTGAAGTTCAATATTTCCAAGTGGTCACACATTGTTTGGTTCTGTGGTTTCCAGGGAGATATTTGAGGTTTTAGACCTGATGAAGATGGACATGGCCAACTTCACCATCCAGCAGATGAGGCCATACCTCCAGCAGCAGAGTGTGGAGTATGAGCGCAACAAGTTCCAGGAATTCCTCAAGACACAGGATGGTAAGCTGTGTTGGAGGTAGTTAGGATGGTACGCTGTGTGGGAGGTGGTTAGGATGGTAGGCTGTGTGGAAGGTAGTTAGGATGGTAGGCTGTGTGGAAGGTAGTTAGGGTGGGAGGTAGTTAGGATGGTAGACTGCTAGGGAAGTAGTTAGGATGGTAGGCTTTATGGGAGGTAGTTAGGATGGTAGGCTGTGTGGGAAGTAGTTAGGATGGTAGGCTGTGTGGGAAGTAGTTAGGATGGTAGGCTGTGTGGTAGGTAGTCAGGATGGTAGGCTGTGTGGTAGGTAGTCGGGATGGTAGGCTGTGTGGGAGGTAGTTAGGATGGAAGGCTGTGTGGGAGGTAGTTAGGATGGTAGGCTGTGTGGGAGGTAGTTAGGATGGTAGGCTGTGTGGGAGGTAGTAAGGATGGTAGGCTTTGTGGGAGGTAGTCAGGATGGTAGGCTGTGTGGGAGGTAGTTAGGATGGTAGGCTGTGTGGAAGGTAGTTAGGATGGTAGGCTGTGTGGAAGGTAGTTAGGATGGTAGGCTGTGTGGGAGGTAGTTAGGATGGTAGGCTGTGTGGTATGTGGTTAGGATGAGAGGCTGTGTGCATGATGTGGGAGTTAATTGATAAGACACAAGATGGTAGGCTGTCTGGGTATGTGTCCTCAAGGCAGTCTATCCTCTGGGCTTCATCTGTTTCAGGCATATAAAGGATGCAAATAAATATCAAGTTCAAAATTGTCCGCACTGTGGTTCACACGTTTTACCCATGTGGCTTAGTACACCCTTGTTAAACCCAGGGGTGATTTTGGGTTAGAATAGGTCCCCGGTAACCCATGCTTCTTGTAATTGGAGTGGGTGGTCAGAATTTGGGACCCCAACAGTATGTAAGTTTGCTCATAGCATCAATCACTTGTTTATCTGCCCCAAACCCAATATTTCTATCTGAGGCTTTAAAAATCAAACAGACAATGTATCAACAAGGCTGCCCCACCACGACAACCAATCCAGACGTTGGATAACCTTGAGAACAAATATTGTGTATCCAAATAGTCACTTCCGTGTTATGGTGCTCAGTTAGACCATGCATATATGTTGTCAGAACATGGGACAGATGGCCTGCAGTTCTCGAAAGTATGGCTGAAGCGAAGCTTCGAACAGCTGTTGGTGGAGGAAGAACCGTTGGGAGAGGGAGCCACTGCAGGGTCAAAATTCACGCCAGCATCTATCATGAATGAGGCTTACATGGAACTTCTACAGTGGAAGGATGATCAAGTGTTCCCAGAGGTATAGATGAGCAATGATCGTGTTGATTGTGTGGAGTCAGCAGTACTAATGGTTTCCATGGTTTCAATATCACTATTTCCAGAGCAGTAACCTAGGAACCAAGTCAATGTTGAAGTGTAGCTAAGTGTTGTTGTGTAGCTCAGTGTTGAAGTGTAGCTCTGTGTTGTAGTGTAGCTATGTGTTGTTGTGTAGCTCAGTCTTGAAATGACCTCAGTGTTGTAGTGTAGCTCTGTGTTGAAGTGACCTCAATGCTCAAGAGTAGCTCATTGTTATAGTGTAGCTCAGTGTTGTAGTGTAGCTCAGTGTTGTAGTGTAGCTCTGTGTTGTGTAGCTCAGTGTTGTAGTGCAGCTCAGTGTTGCACCGTACCTCAGTGTTGAAGTGACCTCGATGCTCAAGAGTACCTCATTGTTATAGTGTAGCTCAGTGTTGTAGTGTAGCTCAGTGTTGTAGTGTAGCTCAGTGTTGTAATGTAGCTCAGTGTTGAAGTGTACCTCAGTATTGTAGTGTAGCTCAGTGTTGTAGTGTAGCTCAGTGTTGTAGTGCAGCTCAGTGTTGCACCGTACCTCAGTGTTGAAGTGACCTCGATGCTCAAGAGTACCTCATTGTTATAGTGTAGCTCATTGTTATAGTGTAGCTCAGTGTTGTAGTGTAGCTCAGTGTTGTAGTGTAGCTCAGTGTTGAAGTGTAGCTCAGTGTTGTAGTGCAGCTCAGTGTTTGCACCGTACCTCAGTGTTGAAGTGACCTCGATGCTCAAGAGTACCTCATTGTTATAGTGTAGCTCAGTGTTGAAGTGTAGCTCAGTGTTGTAATGTAGCTCAGTGTTGTAGTGTAGCTCAGTGTTGAAGTGTAGCTCAGTGTTGTAGTGCAGCTCAGTGTTGTAATGTAGCTCAGTGTTGCACCGTACCTCAGTGTTGAAGTGACCTCGATGCTCAAGAGTACCTCATTGTTATAGTGTAGCTCATTGTTATAGTGTAGCTCAGTGTTGTAGTGTAGCTCAGTGTTGTAGTGTAGCTCAGTGTTGAAGTGTAGCTCAGTGTTGTAGTGCAGCTCAGTGTTTGCACCGTACCTCAGTGTTGAAGTGACCTCGATGCTCAAGAGTACCTCATTGTTATAGTGTAGCTCAGTGTTGTAGTGTAGCTCAGTGTTGTAATGTAGCTCAGTGTTGTAGTGTAGCTCAGTGTTGTAGTGCAGCTCAGTGTTGTAATGTAGCTCAGTGTTGCACCGTACCTCAGTGTTGAAGTGACCTCGATGCTCAAGAGTACCTTATTGTTATAGTGTAGCTCAGTGTTGCAGTGTAGCTCAGTGTTGAAGTGTAGCTCAGTGTTGAAGTGACCTTGTGCTCAAGTGTAGCTGATTGTTGTAGTGTAGCTGATTGTTGAAGTGTAGCTCAGTGTTGAAGTGAAGCTCAGTGTTGTAGTGTACCTCAGTGTTGTAGTGTAGCTCAGTGTTGTAGTGTACCTCAGTGTTGTAGTGTACCTCAGCGTTGCACCGTACCTCAGTGTTGAAGTGACCTCGATGCTCAAGAGTAGCTCATTGTTATAGTGTAGCTCAGTGTTGAAGTGTAGCTCAGTGTTGAAGTGTAGCTCAGTGTTGCAGTGTAGCTCAGTGTTGAAGTGACCTCGTGCTCAAGTGTAGCTGATTGTTGTAGTGTAGCTGATTGTTGAAGTGTAGCTCAGTGTCGAAGTGTAGCTCAGTGTTGAAGGGTAGCTCAGTTTCGAAGTGTAGCTCAGTTTTGCAGTGTAGCTCAGTGTTGAAGTGACCTCGTGCTCAAGTGTAGCTGATTGTTGTAGTGTAGCTGATTGTTGAAGTGTAGCTCAGTGTCGAAGTGTAGCTCAGTGTTGAAGGGTAGCTCAGTTTCGAAGTGTACCTCAGTGTTGCAGTGTAGCTCAGTGTTGAAGTGACCTTGTGCTCAAGTGTAGCTGATTGTTGTAATGTAGCTCAGTGTTGAAGTGTAGCTCAGTGTTGTAATGTAGCTCAGCGTTGTAGTGTAGCTCAGTGTTGTAATGTAGCTCAGCATTGTAGTGTAGCTCAGTGTTGAAGTGTCGCTCAGTGTTGTAGTGTAGCTGATTGTTTAAGTGTAGCTCAGTGTTATAGTGTAGCTCAGTGTTGTAGTGTAGCTCAGTGTTGAAGTGACCTCAGTGTTGAAGTGAGACTCATTGTTTAAGTATAGCTCAGTGTTGTGGTGACGTCGGTGTTCCGTGTTATCTGTGCAGACTCTACTGATGGACCAGGGCCGGATCCTGGAGCTGCGTGACAAGACTCGTCAGCTGACCCTGGTGGCGTCTGTGTTGCTGGTGACGTACAGTACTGTAGGGGCCCCCATAGCCGGAATACAGGACCTCAAGACTACACTCAAGTCCAATATACTCACTGTCATTGGAGAAGAGAAGTAAGTCAGACTTTCACATTTACTGGACACTGGAAATCTAAAAATGTTTATTTGCCTTTACGCAAGTCTCCAGTCTTAAGTCTATTCAGATTTTTCATAAACACTGCCTTGTAATCCATCTCTGCCGGAGCTACATACGTGTTTAAATATGTTCAATTCTTTGCGACCCATGAAGATCTGGTTAGAAAATAGGTCTTCAGCAACCCATGCTTGCCGTAACAGGCGAATATGCTTGTTGTAAGGGGCGACTAACAGGATCAGGTGGTCAGGCTCGCTGACTTGGTTGATGGATGTCATCGTATCCCAATTGCATGGATCGATGCTCATAATGTCAATCACTGGATTGCCTGGTCCTGTCTCCATTTTTTACAGACTGCTGTCATATAGCTGGAATATTGCTGAGTGTGGTGTTAAACAACAAACAAACAAACTAAATTCTTTGCCCAGTGACATGTGAGATCAGCAAGTGAGTGAGCTGATTCTTTATTTTCCTTTTCCGATATTCCTGTAATTCATCAACACTTACACACGCTAAATGTGTGTCTATTTCACAGAGATTTCAAGAAGGTGATTGTGTCTGTTTTACAGAGATTTCAAGAAGGTGATTGTGTCTGTTTTACAGGGATTTCAAGAAGGTTATTGTGTCTGTTTTACAGAGATTTCAAGAAGGTGATTGTGTCTATTTTTACAGAGATTTCAAGAAGGTGATTGTGTCTGTTTTACAGGGATTTCAAGAAGGTGATTGTGTCTGTTTTACAGAGATTTCAAGAAGGTGATTGTGTCTGTTTTACAGAGATTTCAAGAAGGTGATTGTGTCTGTGGCTGATCAGGTGAAGAAAGATGTGAATGAGTGCCTTGTCAAGCACGGCTTCTCCCAGCTGGACGAGGAGAAGGGAAAGTGTCTCATGGGTCAGATCTCAGATGTTGCTGCTGAAGACCATGCTGTCACAACTGTCATGCGTAAGTAGGAGGAAACTTGTCACTTTAATATTTAATTAACACTTTTTGTTAAAGTTAAACAAAATTAGATTGTTTTTACTCTTAGATTAGATTAGTATGTTGATGACTGTCCTTATTGAACATGAAGCTGTGTAAATCTAAAATGCTAAACAGAAAAGCAGAGATAAGCAGAGATAATTAGCTGAGTATGTTGCTGTATAGTGAAAATTATCGGGATTAAACATTAATTTCTACTAGCCTCGGCAAGTGTAACACTTAGAGTAACAAAGAATTATGGATGATCTCACCCAAGTGAATTAATGTTGTAGGTTTCCAAGGCTTCTATCACTGTAAAGTATGAGTCAGGCAATCAGAATATGTCTTATGATATTACTTCAAAACACAATGGTAACTGACATGCATGTCGAAGTTGAGTACACAGTTAAATTCTTCATACTGCCTTCCTCCTCCGCAAAATGGGGCCCATCCCTATATTTCTGCTAACTCAGCTTATCATTTTCACCTGTAATTTGTCAGTTGACCAACATGTTGTCACATCAATCTGAATCTTTTTGAATTCTTCAGCATAATTTTGAAATACCCTTTTGAAATTATTGCTGCAGTTAGGGACACAATTCTCACATCATCCTGAACAAGATCATAACCTACTTTTATCATTGTTTTTTAACACCTACATTGTGGGGTGTGGTCAGGTAGCCCAGTGGTTAAAACTTTCGCTCCCCACACTGAAGACCAGGGTTCGATTTCCGACATGGGTACAATGTGTGAAGCCCATTTCTGGTGTCCCATGCTGTGATTTTGCTGGAATATTGCTAAAAGCGGCGTAAAACCATATTCACTCAATCACTAACACTTTAAGCTGTCCAGTATGATGTTCAAACTGGGTTATATTATCACATTGCAGACAAGAGGATCTGTTCATTCATCAAAGGCTCCATCACTTCCCGACATACGGAGCCGCTGAAGGTTCCCGCGGGGTACTCCGCCTTCCAGACAGAGCTCAGCCAGATGCTGGGACGCTTCCTGCGTCTTGTCTCCCACAACAGGTCCGTCTTCGGCGTGCACTACGCCAACATCATTGGCTCCCTTATCCGCAAGCAGCAGGACCTGTCTCCGAGATAAACAACCAAAGGAACAGTGAATCTCACAAACATTTTAGCATCTACTAGACAAAATTATTTGTTCCAGACGTACAGCTGTCAAAGATATGTTTTCTTCAATTAGAAAAAAGCCATCCAAATGTGTAGCAAGTCAGACAACCTAGCATGATCCAGAGGAGCCATTGTACACCATTGGTGTTACCCAACTTGGTTCGCATTCCACAAAGTGGTCTTTGCAATACAACTTTCAAAGATTTTGTTTAAGTATTGGAATTATCATCATCAAAGTGCCAAGACTGGAGGGATGGGTCGTGGGGTATAAGACAACCGTACTTGACCCTTAAACTCCCTACTTAGGGTATATGTTTCTCAATGTCAATGACTACTGGTTTTAATTATTGGAAGATACTAGCGCTGTATTGCCCTATCATGTATGGCGACATCCCGAGAGACCTGCCATTTATTATAGAGAGGAGGCCTGTGATTTTAAATCCTCCAGCGTTAATTTGTAAAGATGTGACTTCTAGTTAAAATGAAACGAAGTTAATCCTGACACATAGTCAACAACAAACTCTTCCTTCCAGACAACTGCTTTTAGGAAAGTTTACTTATTAAAGGGACATTTCCCCCAAACCTATGACTTTTTAATCCCATATCTGTTGATCCATTATTTTAATTGCGAATGGTAGTGTCCAGATTGATAGGATTTCACTGTATATGTGTAATATATTTGTTGTCCTTCTTCTGATGCCAAATTGCCAATTGGAGGAAAATTAATCCCCCTTAAAATGGAAATGGAATTATATAATTTAAAAATACTTCCACATCTGACATCAAGGTATATCATGTTTTGTATCTTTACACTTGTATTTGGCATTTCAGTGATTGCCCAAATCTGAATTTCATGAGTATCTGTCCTGAGTATATTTAATGCAGCATCTGTTGTAATTTCATTCCGAGTTATGCAGTGATGTTGCTTGGCAGTGTCTGGTGTACATATCAAGTCAGAATCACAAGCAGCCTTTTGTATCATCTTGCAGGGAATCAATCAGAATGGATTTTCCACATAGGTCCAGGGAGTCAGTTCCCAGATACGTGTCTGGTTGTCATATATTATTATTATTATCATTCATTAGAACAAAGAAGCAAAATGTGATACAACCTGCCAAATAGGTGACTGAATGTTGGGTAACACTGCTGTGTAACAAGAAGACGATCTCGTGTGTTTGGGCATCATGTTACAATCCTGTCCTTTTCACACAGTCTGCAGCTTGTCAGTCAGGTTTAGCATTATCATAGAGCAAGAACTTGGTATCCATCGGCATTGAGAAGATGAATATGGTTTCGTAGATACATAAAGCCGTAGGGTTTCGGAACATTGACATGGTCAGGTTTCAACTTGCCAGAATACGAAAGGATAGTTTGATAGTTATGAAGCCAAAAATGTTCTTTGTGGTGAAACTGTCATAGGGTTTTAGAAGATTGACATGGTTAGATTTCAACTTGCCAGAATATGAAAGGATAGTTTGATAGCTATGAAGCCAAAAATGTTCTTGTGGTGAAACTGTTGGTTCTTAGCGGTCAGGAAAGTGAATTGTTCGCTGTTGTGAAGATGTTGCTGGGATTATAATGTTTTTTATTGTTTGCCTCAAAGGAGAAAGCTGTAAGTCTTACATTGGAGTGTTATGCTGATTCTGAGAATCGTCATGTAACCTTGTGTAGTCAACAATGTGCCGCGGTTGTCAACACGCCGTGTCTCCCCACATTGTACATCTAACCTTGTGGCTAATGTTGGTCAGAACATGATTTTTCAAATTGTATTTGTTTACACCATATATGTTCATCATGACAGTATTGTAACAGAGTGCTATTGCATGAAAGTTTCCTAAAGGACTGGGTAGTGTGTGTATAGCTCACAGTGGGGCTGGGACGAGTCCACGTTTACTGCTGAGGTTCCCGACCCTTATTACGCGACTCTACCCAGGCACCCACTGTAGGTCACAAGAGTAGGGTACATAATGTCCGACTGAGAATTGTTTTAATGGCGCCCTGGCAAAACTTATTTAGACACACGTATAAAACAATCTTGTCTTGCATACACTGAAGTTGACAGAAGCTTATCTTTATTCAAACATATAAAGGTCAGAAAAAATGAGTACATTGTCAGAAACAAAGAGACTTGTAGTGTAACCATGAAGTTACAGTGATTTTTTTGTCACGGGACTAACGTGACTAACCACGGGTCTGAGTAGTCCTGTGGGTACCTGGGTCCTTCTCGGTACCCACCCGACCTGAGTACCTGAGTTACCCGTCCCAGCCCTAGGTCGCAGAGCATGTTGCAGCAGCAATGGAGGGATTGTGCCACAACACTTTGGTTTACGTTTGTCAGAACAGCCATCTTGTCTTTCTCACCTTTTCAGTATGATTTTCTGATCAGGAACAGATTACCCTGTTTAGCTACTTCATAACTTTAAATGACTTGAAAAACGTGCGGGGTCATAGAAACTATGTGCAGGGTTTCATCAATTAGGGTGCAAGTGATCGACGATTGTGGGTTCGAATCTAAGATTCACCCCAATTATGTTTCAATTTCAAAGACCTGCATCACTTTGGGCTTTCCTCCCAAATTATGTACTGTGTCCTCTTGACATGATATGATTGAAATACTGTTCAAAATGACGTTAAGCCATACTCACTCACTCACTCACTTATTCAATGACCTGTATTGTGTAAACAATTTTTAGCACCAGAAAAGATAACAAGACCCTTGTGTGTTTTTTAAATCATGGTTGTTATCAAAATTGTGGTTGTTTCGATCCTTGCACATAGAGCGATGTGATACAAATTTCACTTATGCAATACCATTTGATTACAGTCCATTTCTTTTACACGACATAATGAAGAGGTTGTGACTCTTGTTCAAATATTGATTTATATAGATCATGTAGATTACAGAGAATTTTTCTATTGAATGTCTTAAATAATCTTATTTCAGAAGGGTGTAATGTTCCGTATCACATGAGGAGTGTTGTATTACCAGTAGTGTGTTGTATGATGCTGTATAGCATAGACGGTGCTAATGTTGTGTATAGTGTGACTGTTTGATTGGCATTCTAGAAGTTGGTAAATAAGTAAGATAACCGTACAACTCTATGGATAACAACTTCTGGTTTATTGCATATAGCGACGTTTCGATGTAGATTCTTACACCGTTATCAAGCTGGAGTGTATAGTGTGGCTCAATAGATGGAGATGTCACATTCAATGTATACCTGCAACAACCCATATCAACTTTATCATTCAAATGTTATGTGTATATGATACTTTAAATCTTGAAATTAACACGAGCGTGAATTTAATGCGAAAAATGCGAGTGGTCTTTGCTCGCATTAATTAACTTTGCATTTATGTCTTCAAATGACTATCATCAATCAGACGGCCTCACTGCACACTTTGGATAGCGGAAATACCAACTTGAATATAAACACAAACACGGTTTATTGAGCAGTTGTAACAAGTATATAACAATGTCATTCAAAGAATAGGACTTACACAATGGGCATCCGGTGAGTGATCACTGCTGGGGTCAAGAGTGCAACCACTCGTGTCAAGCTTGTTGACACCTTCTCCCCATACCTATCAGTGAACTGTTGTTGGCTCAATTAGTTTGTTTTCTTTTAACTTCCTAATGCCACTCAACAGAGTAAACTTATAAACTGTGTGTTGTTTTAAGGAAAACAATGTATATTGTTTTTACGGAAGTGCTCTACTCAGCGATAATAAGCAGTGCTATTTGCTGTTTGATTGGATTAAGGTAAGGATATGTATCATTCCACTGGGGATGGGGTGGGGGAGTCGCATTGATATTGATTCGCATTTTTGGCTAGGGGTCAGCAGTCATATTAATTTGGAATCTCATTAATTTCCAGATTTACAGTATACGTCTTCATTTACATAAGTCAGTCACAAGAAGGGATCGTCTTTCAACCGGATCCATTCAGGATGCCATGTCTCATCTTCATCAATTTAGTCAATCATGCCTTTGATTTAGAAGGCGAAAATAAGTTTTTAAAAGTTAGCATGGTGATTCGGGAGGCATTTAATGTTTACATATTTTCTAAACAACCTGTAATGTATCACTCACTCTCTAGCCGATTCAACTACTCTGACATTTCTATCCTTAGGTAATCTGTCATTTTGTATTTTTATACAAGTTTTTTACCTTTTATGTAATTTCATCAAAGATTTGTATTGAATTAACAAAGGGTTGAAACAGCATAGTCACAGTACATTTTCATATATATCTATTGAATAATGTTTGTTCAATGAGAACAATAATTCGTTTTGTTTTTTCATCAGGTGTTAAAATGTTATCATCCTGTAAACACAAGTTTGAACACGTCTTTTCTTACAAAATTGCATACCTACATTAATTCAAATAAGGCTTAAAAGAATTTTGAAAATATAGTGCGAGAGGGGGTGACGTCGGTCTGACGTGACCCGTAATGGGATGTCCTCAGATCTTTGTTTAGCGGTAGCGAAAACTAAGATCTGATTTTAATGAGATTGCAACTTGGCTGGGTGACATTTGTATTTACACTGTTGCAATGCTTCAGTGCATGTTTCAAGAACATTCATGAAGCATGAAACAACATTATTATGTACGATCATACTATTTTACAAAACATATAATAGGCCTAAGGAAGAGAATATATGGATATCAGCTTCTTTGTTATGTGTTCCTCAAAATAAAGAAGTTGACATCCATATATTCACTTTCTTATGTGTATCACTTCTAAATGCCTTTCAAAGACCTATAATAGGCCTCTTTGTTGATGCAGTTTTCATACAGAATAGAGAACTATGTGCAGGTTTTCTAATAATTTTAAATGAACACTTAGGTCTTCATTATCCCGATGAAGTAGCAAATTTTGAATTCTATATATCTTGTATACATGACCAGGGGTCCGGAAAATTTAAAATCCCAATCGGACATTTGCATTTAGGCCACGCCCCCTTCAAATACATGTAGCGTATTTTCGTACGACTTCTCACACACATTACAAGTTGTTACGTACAGTGTTCCCTCGTTATTGAGCGCTTCAGTTATAGCGCGGTAAAGCATGGCTCCCAAAATTTCCTAACATTTTTAGTAAACTCAAGTTTTCCAATGACACGATGTTTTCATTACTATACATTGAAAACATTTTCTTTTTAAGAAACTGGTACCATACTGTTTGTAGGAGCCTCATAAACCTCCTCCTTGATGAGGTCATCTTTCATATATTGTTTCATTCCTCGGGGATGTCCTAAGAAAGTTGTGTAGATATTTCTATGGTTACTGTGAGTAATCATAAATGAGTTTTTGAATTTATGTTTCAATAATTGTAAATATTTTTGGTGTATGGTTCTTTTATGACTCGTATAGTTATGTTTATTACTGATTGTATATAGGAAGAAGAATCAAGATAGATGTTAATCATTTTTAGTATTTGTATTCTATTCTATACTGTATTTATTAATACTCTGTTGACTTTTCCTGCTTGATATCATCTCAGTTTAAAAGAACTGGTTTGCACGGTCAATGTTGAGTCAAAAGTATTACCGGTATCTATCATAATTTAGTTGTTTTTACTACAACAATAACGATGGGCTCTTTAGGTCTTCAGCAGCCCATGCTTGCCGTAAAAACACTCAGGTCTTGTAAGTCTGACACACGTTAATTTGACAGTCAGCTTTATCCAAAACTAATGATGGGAACCGATTAAATCAGTGCTATTTAGACCTGTTAATCGGACAGTCTCCCACTCCGACTCTGACACATCTTATTTGCACTGAATTACCGAAATCATTCTTTAATCAGTCTCGTTAATCCGACAGTGATCAGCGTACTCCGTGGTCACCTGCCCGCGAGTACACAGCCGTGTTTTGATGTTTTGTACTCATGTTCCAGGGACCTACTAACAGTGGGCAGCTATTGAGCCATGTTCCAGATCAGTGTTAATTCTTCTTTATGAATTCTGCAGATCAAAAGCAAGGAAGTTAATATAAGAAAAATGGACGTTATGTTTCCTTAAAAAACAAAGTCATGAAAAGTTCTCAAAAATACTCAGAAAATCATTTCTATTTTTTACCATATGTTCCTCAGGTAAACAATTGACATACCTTTGCATGTGTTTGTGATGGGTGCAGGATAAGCTCACCTTTTCGCGATCACCTGGTATAATCACAATTTGACAGTGATTTATGAACGCATGCTTATGATATAGGCAAAATTGTACTATGGACTGATTTGTTATGAGTATGGAAGGGGTTTGTCACTTTTATTTAAATCACACAGCATTTTTAGTTATTTCTTGGGAGGTTGTACTTTTACCAAATATAATACATGGTTATGTTATGTGTAAGAAAGAGCAATACCAATCTGTAGGTAGAGTGGCTGCACTGAGTCATCCAATCAAAGGCTTGCTTACTTCTGGACTCAACAAGTATCCAATCAGAAACATGAATGAATGTCATGGCAATAAAACCATACAACTGAATACTGTAACTCTGAACACTGATTCAGATATATATTATTCATAAATATATTTGTTGTTGTTAATTTGAGAAATGCTGATTGGCAGACATCCATTCTGTGTGTTCATGTTTGAAAGTACATTTTTCCATCCCCCCCAATCCATGTACCATTTTTTATTTTCTCCTATTTCTGTGTATCGAACTCATTACATTTTTATGTATATATGTTTATTCTTGTATGTATATTTAAAACTTTACTTCTTATTTATTCATTTGCTGTCTAAATATTATGAACTTATAAGAAATGTATAAAGATAAACATATACAATATTTAATTATGTCGTGTACCAATTAAATATATTTTCATATTTTGAATAAAAGTATTGACTTCAAAGATTGAGAACTACCAGTATTGATGAACTAGCCTTGTTCTGTGGATGAACTTGCTCTAAATTTTGTGAAAGTAAAACAAATATTAAATTGAAAATATGTGTATATTTAACATCTAATTGATTGTATTTGACCTCAAATAATTTTATTTTTTTGTACTGTTCTGCTGTTTTGCATTCTGATCAAGAAAAATAGTTACCAATGTATATAGGAATATGCAATGATCTGACATAATTATTTTACACCGATGAAATTTATATTCTTCTAAATACATGTATGATGAATTTCAATAATATGATTCATGATTTACTCTTAAAGTAAGACCCCTATGTCATTGATATGCTTCATCAGAATAAAATCTTTCTTATGCTTAATAACAGATGATAACAGCTAAAGGATTGTTCTGTTGCATTTACTGTAGTGTATGCATCTATATATATATATGCTTTTCATGCACTTACCGTATTCGACGTACTGGGCGCTCTCAAAATTAGAAATAGGGGGCTCTTATTAGAATATTATTTTGGTGAAAAAACAGAGTTGAAAGATAAATTTCGTGGTTTATGCTGACAGCCTGAAATGTTTATATACGAGACTTACATTTTCCTGAATTTAATTGCCCATAATAAAGGGTGCATATAACACACAAGTGCGTATTATACGCAAATAAATAAGTGTTGTATACATTGATCAATTGGAAGGGTCGCAAATTGGTATTGTTCACTAGCGCAAATATCGCCGTGGGCGCTTATTACGTCGAATACGGAAAGTAAAAGTCATCAACAGGAGTGTCCATTCAATATATGAATTAATAAGGATTTATTCATTGTTACTCGAAGTTACATTTTCTATGAATAATATACACTAATATATTCCCCAAACCATGCTTATAGTATTTAGCATTTTTCACATATCATATTTGTTAATGTAAAGTTTATGGAATACGTTTTTGCAGGTGTGTATGTGATTGCATGTTAGGTCCGAGCCAGTTTGAAACTGAACTAGTTTCAGTAGCATTGTACACCTTCCTTGACTGTGATTAGTTGTCCTGTTTGTGTATATTTACATTTGAGCGAGTTGTTTATCATATGGTGAAATAAACTATATTTCATGGTTACCTGCCTAAACCTGTGTCGTTCATTCAATAACTACTTCTTATGTGGTTGCTGATAAGGCCAAAGAAATAAATGTTGTGATTGTCGTGTAGGTCATTTTGAACCTAGTGGGTCAATGCTTTTGTTTCCGGTTCCGAATTCGCCATTCTTAATTTTCTGCATTTTAGAATTTAGTCTTCAACTAGAGTTGTCTTTCCTTCACTGTGTGACTGCCATTTGGTTGTCTCCAAGTACTTTAAACACATTCCCTGTTGGAATTTAATACTCACTCTCATTTTAGTATGTGGTTGTCTTATGTCATTCGCTGTTAGAAAACAAGACCATGTACACAAAATTGTGTTTAAAAAATAAGAAGACAAAAATGCCAATTAACTTGCCATTTTTAGAACTCAGGAATTGATTGGAAACATTCGTATGTGTGGCTGAAACAAGGATTGTTATAATTGTCTATCTACATTGTGCTAGGGACATCATTAGACATCTATTCAGGTCAACAGATCTGTGTGCATTCATGATGTATTCTCAACTCCCTGGGGACCATACAACCCAAGCTGCTAAATCATCAGGACCCGGTTGTATCAAAGCCTCATTAACTAATGGCTACATTAAACCCTAATGATACATTAAATGCTTAATGCATCATTAAAGTTTGATACAACCAGGTCCAGGTCTTAAGAGCTTTCCATTCAACTTATCATGTCATCCAACTGGGTACCCTATAACTGCTGAATTAACAGAGGGCCACTGAAGCTATGTCATTTACCTATAGGCTAGTCTGTCAACCATCATTTTGGAACCCAGTTTTTCACAATTAATTTCCATTAAACACATAATCACGTGACTACAGTTTGGTTATTATTGAATAATAACCATTAACCAAACTATCATTATATGTCCGAAAAAAATATTTTCTTCATTGTTGTGTATTCTTGTGACTTCTGGCCCTGTACTGGGGGGTTAGAACAGAGTGTTAGCTTGTCATGCCGAAGACCGGGGTTCAATTCCCGACAGGTTAAAATTTGTGAAGCCCATTTCTGGTTTCCCC